TGGCGCACACCTGTAACTCAGCACCAGGAAAGGGAAGCAGGAGGATCAGGAGTCTGCAAAGACCTGGGGGGTGGGGGAGCAGGAGAGCCTGCCTTCAGTGAGAGCCAACCCCAGGCCCATGCACCCACCGGCTCTCTGGGATTGACTCACTGTCTAGAGAGAGAAAGCAAAGGCAGCCCAGGGAGGTTCAGACCCTGTAACTGCCCAGGGAGCACACGGGTGCCATAGAGCCCCCTCCCCCCCCGCCCCCCACGTGATTTAAGTGAATGGAGAGAGGAGGAGGAGAGGGCTTGCTGAGGCCAATGCCGGGCTGGGGGCTGGGGGGGCTCAAAGCTTGTGGAGACAGCAGGATATGCTGGACCTGTTTGTGAGGCCTGGGACAAAGTAGGTGATAACCAGTGAGGGCTAGCTAATCCTCCTGTCTGCTTTGGAGTGGGCTGTCTGTCTGTGGGAGGGAGGGAGTGTGGGGAGGGCTGGCAGCTCCAGGAGACAGAGATATTTAGGTTCCTCTGAGGACGGGTACTGTGACTCAGAAATGGCTTCTCCACCTAGACTCACCCAGTGACAAAAAGTACAATACACTGCTCCCTCAGAGACCCTAATTTACACACATACACACACACACACACACGTACACACACACATATACACAATAACACACAGACACACAGACACAGCACACGCACACGTACATACACACATATACACAATAACACACACATACACACCACACATATACATACACACACCACACACACACACACACACACACACCCCCCCCACACACACACACACGGCTAGTATCTAAGCACATCAGCCCTTGGTACGAAGCCCTGGGGTGAAGGGCAGTCCCTTCTTGTCTCCCATACTGCTGTGTCCTGGGGGGGGGGGGCTACTGTAGACCGGGTGCTGGGGGGAGGGGCAGTGTGTGGGGCTCAGACTCCAGGGTGCTCTCGCTCCTGGTCCTGACAAGAGGTGTGGGTAGGAAGTTCACATTTGCTCTTCCCTGCTGAAGGTGGCCTGCCATAGCCCCTGCTCTCTGTCCCTACCATGTCCATCTCTTTCTGTCTCCTGCCAGCTGCTAATGAGTTCAATGTCCCCAAACGCCCACATGGCAACCGCTTAGGGGAAAGATGTGTGGTCACAGAGAGGACACAGAGAGACAACCAAGGAGCCAGCCTTAGAAGCGTCCTCAGCGAGGGACGGATCTGCAGGGGCCAGCAGCATGGCCCTCACTGATGTGGGGAGGAGCTTCCCAGTCGCTCACATGAGCCTGGAGGAGGCAGCCTTGAGCGCTTCCACTGTCTTCCCACAGTTTCATCCAGTCCGCCAGCCATGGAAGCAGGGGAGTGGAGAGCTGGGTAGCCAAGGCTGGTGCAGACAGGTGTCTGCAGTCAGGATGAATCCAGGCGGTCAACACTAGGAGCTAAAGATCTGTGATCTGTACAGCTGAGGATACCTCACAGTGCCAGAGCGGCTCCTGGCTTCCTCTCTCCGCCGCACGTAGGTGGGAAGTGTGTGGGCTCCCACAAGGCCCTGGCTTGTGGCATGGTCTTCATGCGTGAGCTCGGGTAGAGTGCCTGGCTAGCGTGCAGGCAGCCCTGGGTTCAGTTGCCTCACCAGCACGCCTTAGACGAGGCTGTGGTGCACACCTACAACCGCTCCCCACCCCAGCTTCAGAGGGAAAGGGAGGAGGATCAGGAGTTCAAGGTCATGATGGGCTACGGGGTGAGTTCGAGGCAGCCCAGGCTACAAGGAGACACTGCCTCAAAAAAAAAAAAAAAAAGAAAGAAAGAAAAGAAAAAAGAAAAAAAACTTAAAAAGAAGCTAAAAGGCTAAAACGTAGTGACCATGAAACTTCAGTGAGTTCTGTGCTACCAGCAGGGCCTTGGCACTCAAGACACTTGAGGTCTGACTCTGCCTGTCCGTCTGTCCGTCCTTCTCAGCTGTTTGGAAGGCTGCTCTCTGGGGAAACCCTCTTTGATCTCTGTCCCCAGGCAGCTCCATTGCTCTGGCTTCCCAGTCTCCAGGGTCAGTGGGATCCCCAGATTCCTGACATTTAAAACCCAAATCTGATGCCTTGGCGCAAGGGCTTTCTCTGCCCATGTGCTTGGACCCCTCACTCCAAAGCGAGAGGCACATGTGGAGTTCCTGAAGTCATCACAGCCCGCCATCCATTTGCCAGCTGGGCATCTCAGAACGAGTCACTTAACCTCTCTGATACTCAACTCTCAGCTCTGTAAGACAGCACAGAACTTAACGAAATCACTGTGAGAATTAAATCAGAGTGTATGAGTGTGAATGTGAGCGTGCATGTGTGTGCGTGCATGAGTGTGTGCATGCGTGTCTGTGCATGTGTGTGAGAGTACATTGCGTGTGCACATGTACATGAGTGTGCATGTCTATACTTGTGTGCGCATGTGTGAGTATATGTGTGTGAGTGTGCATATGTGTGCCTTGTGAATGTGCATGCATGTGTGTATACATGTGAGTGTGCCTGTGAGTGTGTATGCATGCACGTCTGTGAGTGTGTGTGAGAGCATCATGTGTGAATATGTATATGACTGTGCATGTGTGGAGCGGCACGTGTATGCTTATCAAACACGGTTAATCCCATATTGCTGTTCTGTACCGTGCGATACATATCCCTTGCCTGGGCTTTGTCACTGTCTAGTTGACAAGGCAACTGTGGAATTGCTTGGTTTCTTCCTTGGTTGACTAAAAATTCCCTGAAAACAGGAAATAGTGCCTGGCTGAGTGGAAGGGTGGTGGGTGCAGAGGTGAGTGGGTGGGTGGGCAGACTGGCAGATGAGTGCAAAGATGGGTGGATGTGTATAGATGACTGAGGGTGATGGATGGACAGATGGATGGATGTCTGGTGCCACAGGTGCATGGATTTTTGTGTTTTGTGTGCCTGAAAGGTGGTTGGTTTCTGATGAGTGGGGCGGCAAATGACACGGAAACCCCAGTGACATGCTGTGTGGCTTGAGGAGCTGCCCCAGACCCGCACTCCCAAGCCAGTTTGGATCCCCTGGCAATGGCTGGGGGCACACTGTTGCCCCCTGCTGTTGCTAACATGAAATGTATGAACCAGCGCCCCCCAGTGCTTCCTCTACATGCTGCTTTCCCTGCTACTTAGAAGGTCAGAACTGTTCAACAGCTCCCAGGAGAATTCAATTCCTAAGCAGGAGCTCATCATACCCTCCTCAGAGATGCCCCAGCCAAGGGAAGAAGTCGCCGCAGTAGCTGGAAAGAGATGGGCCCTTGCTTTGTGGCTACCTCTGAACCGCCAGGCAGTGCCCAGAGTAAGCAGGGAGAGACGGACTCCAAAGGATTAAGAGCTGTGGCTTGACCAAGCAAGATGGCACTTAACCTGTAACCCGGTAGCTGAGAGGTAGAAGCAGAATGAACTAGGAGTTCGGGGCTAGCCCCAGCTACAGAGCAAGTTTGAGTCTAGCCTGGGCTACATGAGACCCTGTCTAAAACAAACAAGCAAAAAAAAAAAGTGTGGTTTCCAATTTCAGTGCTACCCCGCCCATCCTTGAAGCCCCCACTTCCCTTGCTGAAAGAGAGGAGAGGATGGATGAGACATTCTATGGGGATGCTCACGGAGCTGCCCACCTGGAGGCCCTCAGCAAATACTGTGTTGCTTCCTGAGCCTGTCCCCCTCTCTTCCCACTTCCCGCTCAGGCAGAAGACAGCCTCAGAACGTCTAGGAGGTTTTCTTTGGACTTCGGGGGACCCACAAAGCCATGCTTGCTTGACAAATATATACAAAGTTTGTTTAGAGGAGCAAGCGGCTTGGGCCTGCCCTATTGGCAGATTCAATCAACCATGGACAGGAAGCAAGTGGATGGGGGGGGGGCTGGGGAGATGACTCTGTTGGTAAAGAATCGGTCACATAAGCATAAGGCCTGAGTTTAGAGCCTCAGCACTGGAGGGAGGGTTGGGGCAGTGACAGGAAGAATCAAGGAGCATGCTGGCCGGGCAGTGTTGCCAGATTAGCTTTTGGTATTGAAAAGACCCTGTCTCAAAACCCAAGAGAGGATGGGTGGGTGGTGACACACATATTACACACACACACACACACACACACACACACACACACACACGGCCCATACTGAATGTATAGAAGAGCCCTCCTCTGCCCTTATTTTAAGAACTCTGTAACAACTCTTGAGCCCTGACATTCGAGTTAGGTGTTCTAGGACGTATGAGATGATTTGAAACCAACAGGAGGTGTGTGTGTGCAGAGCGAACCCTGCCTTTGTACCCAAGACGCTTGAGCCTCTCTGAGACCAGCACCTCATAGATTCCGAGGGACGGATACAGGTAATGCATAAGACCTTGTGGTTGACGGAGGTCAAGATTTCCCCCAGGCTTCCATTCCCATTAAGATTGAAGCACCCCAGTTCCCGTGCGTCAAAGAGTGGAGTCCTCTGCAATCCTGGAGTCCATGCAATCTTCTTTCCGGGTGTTGTAGTTGGCTTCCCGCTTTCTCGGGTCTCTGCACAGCCCTTTGAGGTTGCTCAGGCCTCTTTACATTCCCAGTTTTGGTGAGGAGGTCCTCATACCTGTGTCCACTGCTGTTTTGCAGAAGGAAGCCCGGGACCCTGAAGCTTGACGGGATGGAGGTCTTCCAGCACAAGTCCCCAGAAGGTGGCACGAAGCTCCCTCACCCATTGGAGCTGGAGGAGAGATCAGCGTCAAAGCCCACAGGGAACTAATTAGGCTCAACAGCCCAAAAGGGGACTGAGAAGGTGCCAGAGTGACTGCAGCCGCTGGACTCCCTCCCTGGATCCTTGCACCAGAGTTCTTCAGCCACACTCTGGGGTGAGGTGTGGGGAAAGGAGACCACATCTTGCACGTTTCCTTTCTTGGCCCCAGGCAGCTCAGCTTGACCTTTGGACTCCAGAACCTCTGCCCTCCTTTCCTCTGGCCTCAGCCCAGCCTGGGCTTGCTTTGGGACGACAGTGTCTCCTCAGCAACGAGTACCGCGCCCTGGCAGTTACATCCCTAAGGTGTCCTGGGAAGCCACGCCCTCCACGCCCCTTCCCAGCCGTCAAGCCCGGCCAGCCCAGAGCCAGTCCGGAATGATCCGGCTATGGCCAAGCTCTGGTTCAAGTTCCAGCGGTGTTTCCGGTATTTCCGCAGGAAGCCGGTACGCTTCTTTACCCTGCTGGCTCTCTACCTGACCGCTGGGAGCCTCGTCTTCCTGCATTCGGGCTTCGTGGGCCAGCCCGCTGTGCCCCAGAGCCAGGCCAGCCCTGCAGCGGGGAGCCCGGCAGAAGGAGCCGAGCTACCTTTCCTGAGTGACTTGCACCTGGGCCGAGGCTTCCGGGACACGGGGGAGGTCTCCAGCATCGCACGCAGGTACGGACCCTCATTCAAGGGCAAAGAGACCGGCGAGAGAGCCAAGCTGGGCGACTACGGAGGAGCCTGGAACCGAGCACTCAAGGGGAGAGTTGTCCAGGAGAAGGAGAAGGAAAAGGAAGAGGAGAGAGGTAAGAGCCTGCACGGACTAGGGGGAGAGGGAAAACACGGGATACGGAACACAAATGCAGAAATAACAGCGGCAACTGGTTAAGGACACGCAGGTAGGACATTGGAGCTGCCGTCTGTAATGAGTTGGTCACTAGCCCCTCAGCTGGCAAGTTCCATTCCAGCCCCATGCTTGCTTAAGTTTAGAATCCCTGTTCCCTTTACCACTGCTTGTTGTCCTGGGATCTGGGGTGAGCGCTTAGACACGTGCAGAATCATCTCCAGTATACCCTACCTGTTTTAAAGACAAGGAGCCAGCTGAGCAGGGTGATGAATACCTTCACCCCTGCCCTGGGGAGGCTGAGGTGGGAGGAGTCAGAGGCCAGCCTGGGCTATGTACTGAGACTCTGTCTCAAAGGGGGAAAGGGGGTACCTGGAGCCCAGAATCGATGGCAGCAGCTACTTAGCAAAGCCAAGCTATGGCCATGCCAGAGTCCTCCTCCATCTGCTGAGCTCATGGCGATGGAGCTCTCGGCAGTCCCCCCCCCCCCAGTAAATTCCGTTACCTTGTTGCATTTTCTCAGCCTTTCACAGCCAAAAGGATTTTGGTTACTGGTACATTTCACTGGCTTGAACAGGGTACAGATGAACTTGTGCCTGTTTAACGGATGTGGAAGGCTGGGGGTGTAGCTCAGTTAATAGAGCATTTCCCTAGCATGCACGATCCCCAGGGGCTCCATCCCCAGGCAGGGCAATGCATACCTGTAATCCCAGAACCAAGGAAGTGGAAATAGGAGGGTTGGTCATTCAAGGTATTTCTTAGCTACATAGAGAATTGGAGGCCAGACAGGCTAGAGACCCTGTCTCCCAGACAAACAACAGCTAAGAGCACAAACCCATGCTGCTCTTACAGAGGAGATGCATTTCATTCCCAGCACCCAACACCTACCTATACCTCCAGCTCCTCTGGCACAAAGCCACCATCACACTTACACAATGACTAAGAACAAAATAAAATTGAAACAAACAAGAAACAGGAGTGGAGGCTGAGGCTTGGGCAGTAAAGATGCCAGCACAGAGCTGCACAGCCTACGTCCAGCATGACCTGGATTTTAAGCACCATCTGCCCAGATCCTTGTCTTCCTCTGAAGGTATCCCCCACTCCACTGGCAGATGCTGTGTAACCAGCAGGCTAGGGAAACCTGCCCTAGCCACAGCTCTTGAGATTAATATGGGAGGATGCTCAGGGAACTCAGTGAGGGTGTGGTGAGGGGATTGGTACCACAAGCCTTTGTGTGCCACTTTAGGAATCCCTTCTCTCCACCCCTGGAAGGCACAGCATTCACAAAGGGACCCATCCTAAGGACAGGAGGTGCCCCTGACCCAGTCCCAGCCTGAGCCTGGCTCTGGAGTGGTCTCCAGGAGCCTCTACCTCCCCACCCTATGAGAGAGCCCAGAGCTCACTCTAGCTCCCTTCCAGGCAGCCCTGAGAATCCAGTGGGACAGGAGTCAGCTGGGACTGAACTGGCAGTTAGCAATCAATGTTCAGAAAGCTCCTCTCCCCTGGGATCTACTCGGGGAGCAGCTATGTCTCAGCATGGCAAGGGATGAGAGACTTGTCTGTTAGGGAAATCTCTCCTCTTTCCATTTTCTCCATGCAAGCCCTGCCCCCAGCCACTCCAAACACCACCCAATGCTTTGAAAGCCCCCGGTCCTCGAAAGCGTGCTGGTTCTCACCAGTCTACCCATTAAGCTCTCATATTTCCTCCCACACTCTACCCCACTGTCCTTCTTGCTGTTCAGTGGAGCAGCATGCTCCCTTCGCTGCAGGATCTCTGCCCTTTCATCCTATATACATACCCTTTCCCTACATATTTCTGCATAGCTCCCTTCCTTGTAGCCACCACTCAGCCCCTGCCTCCCGGAGCTGCTTCCCAGAGTGTCCTAACCAGTTCCGCTCCATGCCTGGTCGCAATCACACTCCCTAGCTTTAGTCTGCTGCCAGGAGCATCACCATCCAAAGGTGCCTTGCTTGTACAACTGGGTCTTCGCACTCTGCTCCGGATTCCTGTCTTGGCCAGCTGAACCGGTCAGCACCTGGGACAGTGCCGGGTGCTCAGCTGTGGCTCCTGGCTGCACCCGGCGGCCCAGTGAGTGACCAAATGGGCAAAGGCATGTGTGGCTCTCCCTCTGCGGGGGTGGGGTGGGGTGGGGACCTCCCAGTTCTAGCTTCGCCACCTCCAGAATGCTGTCCCTCCTGTTCTGTGCGATGCAGGAGCTCCTGTGACAGCGGACCTATGTGATGATGTCCCTGTGGGCTGTGAGAATGAAATGCAGTCAGCTCTCCATGGCCGAGGGTTCATACCCTGGGACTCACGGATGAGGAAAATACTTTTGTCAGGAACATACACAGGATCCCTCCCCCACCCCATATATTTTCTGTGTTCACACTGCCTTCGAGCCTAAAGTCATTTGGAGATAACCTCAGAACACATGAGGGAGTTCATCCATGTGTTGGGTCGCAAGGGATGCTGGAACCCCACCAACAGATGGCCACTGTGGCTGTCAACAGTAGCAGGACCGTTTATGGAGCACCTGCGCCATGCTGGATGCTGTTTGTTTTCTGCTCGTGGCTTAGAATGGGGTGGTCTATGCCAGTGCCTGACACACCCTCCGGTTTCCGGTTTGTGATGGTATACCATGTAGCAGCTGCCCTGTGGACTGGACTGTGTCGGGTTGATTCATTGCTATATTTGGCTAGTACCATTCCATGAATTAGAGGCCATTTTGGTCCATTTTGCACATGATAAGGATGGATTCAGAGAGCTATGGCTTCCCCTGGTTACACAGGCTGTTTGCAGGATAGCTGAGGTTTGAAACAAGGGCGATGGGCTTCCAGAGCATGCGAGCCTTTTTCTGAATGCTGGGCACAATTGAGCTTCTAACATTATTTTACGAAATGCAAAGAGAGAAGGGAAAGGGTTTGGAAAAGCAGCCCCAAGCTCCGGGCTCTCAGCAGGCGGTGTCATTAGAACACAGATGAAGCCCATCTTTTGATGGACTTATTTGGGGTTCAGCACCTTTAGATCTGCACCACCAAAATCGAAATGCTTCTCATCCTGACACTGAAGCCCGGCTCCCTCCCAAGCTGCCAGGGCCCTGCTGGATGTGAGCATGCAGGACTAGAACTTCAGAGCCCAAGGGGCCAATACGGGAGAGAAAGAACAGCGTCTGGGTGGAGCTGGCACCAGACAAGAAGTCGGATCCCTGGGTGCAGCTCGCACTGGGTCAGCCCCCTGGGTCTGTTGTTTATCCCAGCCTTGTGAGAGACGGGGTGTTGAGCACCCAGATCAGGGTTCAGATCAGATTGCTGCAAGTTGTTCCGTGCAGCCTTGGGCAGGTCACGTCACATGTCTGAGCTACAGTTTTCCCTGGGGGACAAAGCACCCAGCCTCAGATGGCTGTGAGACAAATGGAGGGTGCTGAAAGCCAGACTCACACTGCCTGGGGCAGTGTGCACACATCGAGTAGCGTTTCCGACCCCCACAACAGCCAGGGGGTGGCTTCACGACCCAGTCTAACTGGGAAGGAAGGAGGGAAGGAGCAGGGAGATTGTGGGAAGTTTCCCCCAGGCTCTGCCAGCCCTCTAGGGAGGAAACTGCACAGGGGTCACATGAATTGTCTGGGTCACTGGTCAGGGAGAGTCATGGAATGAGACCCAGCTTGATTTCAAAGTGTCCTTCAGATAACAGGGACTGCAGTTGACTGACAGCCTGCCCAAGTGCCTGAGATTGCACTTTACTTCATGTAAAACTTGTTGAACCAGAAGTTCAGAGAAGTTGAACTACCTGCCCAATGTCACACAGCAGCAAAAGGCAGAGCAGACTCCATCCCAATTCTCAGAGTCCAAAGCCTTTATTGCTATAACAGTAGAGTGGCAGTATCTCTTCTTTTTTCTTTTCTTTTCTCTTTGGTTTTTCAAGACAGGGTTTCTCTGTGTAACAGCCCTGGCTGTCCGGGAACTAGCTCTCTAGTCCAGGCTGGCTTCAAACTCACAGTCAGTGAACTGCTCTCCCGAGTGCTGGGATTAAAAATGTGCACCAACCACCACCCGTCAGCTCTTTCTCAAGCTGTATAACCCAGCTGGGGACATGGCTCCATTGGCAAACTGCATAGGAGCATGAGGACCCGGAGTTCATGTTAGAAAACCTAGGCTTATAGTGCAATCCCGGCAATGGGGAGGCAGAGGCAGGTGGGTCCCTGGGGCTCACTGGCTAGCCTGCTAGGTGAGTTCCTGGCCAGTGATGGACCCTGTCTCAAAAAGCAAGGTGGACTGCTCCTGAGGAGCTATAATGTGAACATGCATTTGGAAGTGTTCACCCCTGCACATGCACACCCACACATACACGCAGACATGAATGTTCATCCTACACACACATACACACACATGTACACGTGTACACATATCCCTGTGAACAGACACACACTCAGGCAATACATATTGTTTATATAACTATATATGCACATACTCATTCATTTATTCCGTTCATAGGTGCCACATGCTCTTCTCGTCTCCTTTGGTCACGTGATCACCAGCTCTGTGTGTTTGGGACCACCCTCCCCCAACTGACCTCCTCACCCAATCCAGGGACAATGTGATTGTCTGTCACAAGGCAATATCCTGAGGTGTCTCTCTTCTTGGGCAGGGGCTGCGTGTAAGACACAGGTCAGCTCAAGGCACCCCAGGCAGAATTCCTGTCCCCACTTGTCAAGTGGGAAAATGTTGTCTCCGGGAACCCATCTCTGTGGCTAGTCGCCACAGACCCAGATCTGGCTGACTCCAGCACAGTGGGTTACCTCGGAAGCCTGCTCCCAACAGTACAGAAAAAAGGCATGCCAACCTGCTTGTGTTCAGCCTCCCTCTTAGCAGATGGCTTCCATCAGAGAGAGGGAAATTCCATGGAAAGATTAATGAAAGCAGAAGGGAATGTGTGAAGAGAGAATTCAGTGTGGGGAGAGGGGAGAGAGGGTCCTCACCTGCTGGATTCTGAGCTGGATTCTACCAGCCAGGCCCTCTCAGACATTTCAGAAGTGTCTTGGAGATGCTGGTGGATCCTGTGGGCTCTGCCTTTAATCCCCTTCATGTGGTCCGTGACTCTGTGTCCCTGTTTCACACACCTAAACTCCCCTGCCTCTGAGAGGTGCTGCCATCGTGTCGGGATTTGAACACAGGCCCTGGGAAAGGCTGAGGAGGGTTCAGGGTTGCCATTCACAAGACTGAGCTCAGACTTGGCAGTGCTGTGCCGTTCTGGGGATCGGGACCAGACAGGGCTGGCAGGGAGGAACCACCTGGTCCTGTCCACGGAAGGTAGGGTAAGTAACTTAGCTGTGTATCCTGACACTGACTTCCCTGGGCACTGGTATGAGACAGGCCTGTGTTCAAAGCACAGAGGACCCGGTATCTCCCTTCTGTTGACAGAGGAGGAAACTGGCATTCACGTGTTTCTTCAACAGCTATGGGGCGTCTCAGTTTAATGCTAGCCTGGGGAGGGCCAGGGAGAGCCATTCAGCATTCAATGGTCTAGATGGACCCCTGGTTCCCAAAGACATGGGTTCCATCCCCTGCACCACACCATGTGAACTGAAGAAGGAGTCTTTGCCATAATGAGCATATCATTTCAAACCGGAAGTCCTGAATTGGGGGAGGAAGACATGTGATCCAGCCCCGACTGTCTCGTCCTCCGCCCTGGTGTATGAGCAGGGTGGAGAAACCTCCAGTAGTAGACCAGAAGTGACAGCTTAGTCTGAGACCTTCCTTGTGGGTGACTTCAGCAAGCTAATGACCTTCAGCATCAGGGTTCTGGGGAGTGTCCATCTGTCCTGCCATGCCACTGGGCTGCCGAAAAAAATCCCACTCCTGGGCTTCGACACTTCTTAGTTCTCTCCTCCTTCCCTCCTCCTCATTCTCTCTCCCTCCTCCCCATCTCCCCCACGCCTGTCCTCCCCCACTGCTCTGCTCCTCCCCTACCCCTCCAGTTATTGCTCCCCTGCACAGACTGAACTTTGTCTTACTCAATGCCAGTGTCATGAGCCAGGGAAAGCAGGGGCAGCAATACCAGCTTTAATCTGTAGGAATCCAGGGCATGGGCGTCACGCCATCTTGAATCCAGCTGGCTGGTGGGTGGGCAGTGCTGCAGCCCCTAACTGGATCAGGGAACCCCTGTGGGGAGAGGAGGAGAGGCAGGAGATCTGTCTGTAAACCCAGGACTGGGGAGCAGAGGCAAGAGGGTATTAGTGTCGCAGTGGTGGACTTCCTGTCTATAAAATGGATCCCAGTGGGGCTGGAGAGATGGCTCAGTGAGTTAGAGCACACACTGGCCTTGTACAGGACTTGGGTATCAGTCCCAGCGCCCGCATCAGGCAGCTTGCAACCTCCTGTATCTCCAGGGGATTCAAACCCTCTTCTGGCTTTGCAGGTACCTGTTCTCACGCACGTGCACACACACACACACACACACACACACGCACACACACACACACACACGTGCGTGCACACTTTTTAAAAATGGGTTCTCAGGGAGTTTATGAAATTTGAGTTTCAGAAAGCCAAGAAGGCTGAGAACATGGCTCGAAGTTATAGTGCTGACCGAGTATGAGCCAGGCCCTGAGTTTTACCTGAAACAGACACAATGAAGCTAAGGCCCAAAATGAGCATGTGGGCGGCCCTGCCCTGTGCACGCAGCAGTGCCCGATTACCAGCTGAGATTCTGAGACAGGAGATGAGGGGCAGCAACGCTCCCTTTGAAGCTACACTGTCCTCAGCAGAGCCGTCACCTCTGTCTTGTGGAGAAAGTCCAAGGTGCCAGGATGGAGACTGGTGTGTTCACAGAGCTGGCAGCGGCTACATGTGGCCTGGTGGAAGCCTGTCCTCCTGCAAGCCCCACCCCCACACAGGGACAGAGAGAGGACCCGGGAGGGGCGGCCTCTGAGACAGAGAAGTGTCAAATGGCATTGAAGTTTTCCTGGTCACTCCCTGGGACCTGGCTGGATCCTTCTCTCCCAAGGGAAGGGGCAGAAAGAGCCGGTGTGGGTTGGGAAGGTCGGCATGTGATCCTTTGTCCAGCTTTGCCTCTCCTTTCCGGGCCTCACTAGGTCTTTCCAGCGTGCAGGCACATCCCAACCGTGCAGAGGAGGGAGTGGAGACAGGCTGTGCCACCATGTGCAACTCTAGCTTCCTTTATACACAATGTATCACCCTGGACCACAGAAAGAATAGAGATAATATTCTCTCAGAGCCTTGGTGAGATTTGCTGCGCTGCTGCTCGTATAAAGCACTCGCTGTAGCCTGCGTCCAGGTGTTGAGGAGGGTGAGAAAGAGATTTTGCACAAATTCTAAAGTATGCTGTCTTGGTGTGTGAGCTCCCGGTTGACACAGAGAACGGTGATGAGTTCCCAGTGTTAATAACTGCAAGGTTCTTGGATAGCATTTGAAGTGGCTCTGGGATGGATGCATTCACCCAAGTCCAGCAGATATAAACTGCCGAGTGTTGTGCCCTGCCCAGTGAGTGTGCCGTTTCATCTCGCTACCGCACACAGGACAGTGCGGCAGGGGCATCTGTGAGTCCTGAGCTCCAAGGACCAGAGCTGGGAGGTGACACAGTGAAGTGGGCCCTGAACCTTGGGTCATACACATGCAGTGAGACCCTTGAGGCAGGGGAGGGCTCCAGAACTTCCATGCGGCTAAAACAGGCCTCATCCTGGGCGAAGTGAGGCTCCTTCTGGGCTAGGGGTGTGGCCCCAGTGTCGCCAGGAGACTGCTGGACTTGGTTGTGGCGGGGGGGGGGGGTCCCTCCCGTGCCCTGTGTCTGTAGCTTCACCCATTAGTACCCACTGCCCTGGGCCAGCATTTCTCTCCTCTCGTTTGTGCCCTGAGGACGAAATCGGGTATTACGCACACAGTTAGCAAAGTCACACAGGCAGGGGCACATGGGGCCTCCTCCTCCTCTAGCCCTCCGGTGTCAATCCCCATTCTTCCTCTTTCCCCGTAGCCAAGTACATCGGCTGCTACCTGGACAACACCCAGAGCCGGGCCCTGCGAGGTGTGTCCTTTTTCGACTACAAAAAGATGACAGTCTTCCGTTGCCAGGACAACTGTGTTGAACGGTAGTGACCCCTACCCCGCCACCTCCCCGTGTCCCCAGATATGTCCCTCCCAAGCCTTCCCACCCACGGTTTCTTCCATGGTGTCCTTTGCCTTGCCGCGGAGAGAATGTCAGAGCGTGGTGAACAAGGGACCTCAGAAGCGAAGGATTGTAATTATTATCGATATGTGGGCATGTATGTGTGTTTGTGTAAGTGCATGTGTGTGCACGTGTGTGCATATGTGTTCACACACATGTGCGTCTACAATGATATATGTGCATGTGGTCTGTGGGAGTATGGCTGCAACGGGATGGGCTATGCTTTGGAGCAAGATTGTGCGGTATGGCGCGCATGGTCAGCCGGTTACCTTGGTGAGCTTAGTCCCGACACTTGACTGTCTCTAAGAAACGGTGTTTGTGTCATCTCAAGTCTGGGGTCGCCAGGCCTGCGCCACCATGCCTGGCTTTAAAGCCCACCACTCTAAGAGAGCAGTTTGCAAGCACCCTGTGGATTCCCAGTTCTGCCAGGCCAGGAGGTCAACTGGCCTACAACCCCCCTCCCCAGCTGGAAGCCATTGAGCCCCCTCTAGAACAATGTTCCTCCTCCTCAGCCTTCATCCCTTATTCCAGAAACAGCCCGTGACGTTGATTCTGTCAGTGGGTTCCTCTGTAGCAGAGGGGCCCAGGGAATGTCTGAGAAACAGGCTCAGAGGGGCAGGGACATGGGGGCAAGTGAAGTCCCAAGATCCTCAGTCATACCAGCTGCTCTCGCCTCCCAGAAAGAGCAGGCGGACAGGCTAGTGCCACCAAGTCCGGGGAATGTGCAGGCACCAATCTGGGTAGCTCTGCCCATCTGCCCAGCACTGACAGCCAGGAGACAGCCGTTGCCACCGACAGCTCCTCCGGGGACGGGGACGTGTTTTTCAGGCTGTCCTCTGAGGAGCTCCCATGCCTCTGGGAGCACCGTGGTCAGGGGGCTGGCAGGACTCCCCCCCCCAATCCTCAACCATAGCCTTCTTCCGTGTGTTTAGACTGGTATCCACTGAGTATCCTTTTTAGGGAAGAATTCCACAGCTAGGGGGAAAAAACCCAGCATAACCTCAGAGCTCCTGGAATTTTGTTTTGCTTTGTTTTCGAGGAAGAAATTTTTTTCTTGGCTGGGTATGTGAGCCTGGTTTTATAATCTGCCAAAGGGATTGGGGAGCCCTGCCTCCTCCCCTTCTCTGGTGGGTGCTTCTCAGGGTACCTGGCAATGAGGTGTCTCCTTGGGTGGTATTTCCTGGAAGACAGAGGTTGGGTTCTATAGTGGTGAGAGAGGACCAGGGGAGGGGCAAGGTGGGGTGTGTGTGTGTGTGTGTGTGTGTGTGTGCGCGCGCGCGCGCGCGCACATGAGTGAATGTATGTGTGTGAACATGTGTGTGAGTGTATCTGTGAATGTATGAATATTTCTCTGGTGTGTGTGTTTGTGTGTGTACAGAGTGACGTGTGTTACGTGTGAAAGTGAGGGTTAATATGGACATGGAGAGAAGTATGGGGATACGACACATCAGACAGTGATGCGGGCTGGTGGATGTCCCCAGGGTGTTCTCCCGGTCCCCAGGGGTCTCACCCCCCACCCCCAGTGCCTGGGGCCCTCTGACTCCCCGCCTCTGTGACCCCCAGCAGGTTGTCCTGCCCAGTAGTTACACCACCATTTCTCCTCCAAGCTCCCTGCCCCTCCAACCCCTCTGTCCCCTCTGTGAAGTCTCCTGTGCTCTCATTCCTGGGTTCCCAGGCCTCCTGGAGACTCTGTCCATCTCCTGCCCCCGGGGGTCTGCCAGTCCGTAGTGACCTGCCTAACGCCACCCTCCCCCAGGGGCTACCTGTATGCTGGGCTGGAGTTCGGTGCCGAGTGCTACTGTGGCCACAAGATCCAGGCGGCCAACGTGAGCGAAGCGGAGTGTGACATGGACTGCAAGGGAGAGCGTGGCAGTGTGTGCGGTGGCGTCAACCGCCTCTCCGTCTACCGGCTGCAGCTGGCCCAGGAGTCTGCCCGCAGGTGTACGTGAGTTCGCCCCGCCCCTCTGCGGTGGCGCACTAGCCCTCCAGTGCCCACTCCAGGGACCCTGATGGTCTCACGCTTGGTGTCCATCCTGCACCTTCTATGAGGCCCCAGCACTCCAAACCACCGGAGGCTTCATCTCCCACCCTAGCCTTCAATCCAACACCCCTGTGTCCCTGTTCTCCGCCCCCTGAGTCTGAACCTGATGTTGGCCTGTCTCTTCTGAGATGAAATCACCGTCCCCACTGCCTGGGACAATGCAGTAGCCAAGACTGTAAGCGCATACAGCCGTTGTCCTTTTCTGAGCTCTTTGTGTGTACTAGCTCCACGGTGGCCTTGGAAATAGACACAGGGAAAGCCAGACCTCGGGGCGCAGACCTGGCATCCCTGCTCCCGGGGAGGCTGGTCGGGGATGAAGTTAAGACAAGGACAGCCTGAGCTACAGAGGAAGTTTGAGGCCAGCCTGGGCTACATAGTGAGACCCGGTCTCAAAACAAGTTTATGGGGTGGGAGGGCGTTAGAGTTGTAGCTCAGTGGTACAGCACTTGTCATGCACAAGGCCCTGGGTTCAATCTCCAGGGCTGCAAAACTTAAAAAAAGGAGAGAAGGAGGAAGGGAGGGAGGGAGGGATGGAGGGAGGGAGGGAGGCAGGCCTCCATTTGAGGCCAGAAACCTATCTCAACATCACAGCTCCGAGCAGTGGGAGACTTTCTCCAGCTCGGCAGACTCCTGAGAGTCCCCCGAGCTTGCTAGTGTTCCCAGCTTGAGTCTTGCTGGGAAAAAAAAAGAACAACCCTGCAGTTTGCGAACCAAGGATAGGAGGTGGTTGGAGAGGCAGGAGACATCTCTGCCTCTGCCATTGCCCAACTGCCCCTTCCCGTTATTAGCTGTTTGTCAAGAGTCTGCTGGAGCCCAGGTGCTAAGTCAGGTCAGGCCCGAAGTGTCATGCCTTTCCCAGGGGTTGCCACGGGCAACCATCACTATCTAACAGGAAGGGGATGGAGGCTTTGTGCGGTGAAGTAATTTTGCCGGGGCCCAGTCAGGGTTTCTATTGCTGTGATAAACAGCATGACAAGAAGGAGAGCTGAGGAGGAAAAGGTTCATTACACTTTCCACTTGTACATCACCGCCCATCATCCAGGAAAGTCGGGGCTGTTCTCCAGGCAGGAGCTGATGCAGAAGCCCTGGAGGAGCATGGCTTACTGGCTTGCTGCTCATGGCTCGATCTCATTCTTCTTATAGCACCCAGAGGCATCAGCCCAGGGCTAGGCCCCTCCCTCCCACGCCAGCCGTCAGTCAACCACAGTGCCACACAGGCTTGCCCACAAACCAATGTCTCGGCCGGGGACGTTGTCTCAGCTTAAGTTTCCTCTTCCACACTGACTTGCGCCTGTGCCAAGTGTGCATGAAAGTAGCCAGCCACAGACCTCTGGGGGTCTTCATCAGCCAGGCTCCATGTCAGCATGCCGATATTCCTGGAGACCTTGATAACCTGAACACTGAATAATTCTTATTTTTGTTGTTGTTGGTTTATTTATTTGTTTGTTTTTTGAGACAGGGTTTTCTGTATTGCTTTGGAGCCTGTCCTGGAACCATCTCTGTAGACCAGGCTGGCCTCAAACTCTCAGAGATCTGCCTCTAGAGTGCTGGGATCAAAGGAGTGAGCCACCCAGCCTGAATAATTCTTGTACTTTCCCCTTGCTGTGGTGAAACACTGTGACCCTGGCAGTTTATAGAAGGGTTAGGGTTTATTTGGGTTTGTGGTTCCAGGAAGAGAAGAGCCCATCATGGCAGGGAGCCAGGAGCAGAAGACTGAATGATCACAACCTCAGTCAAAAGCCCGAAGCAGGGAGCAAGCAGAAGTGGCATGAGGCTTTGAACTCTCAAAGTCCAGGGCTGGGTGTGACAGCGCACGCCTTTAACCCCAACACTGGGAAGGCAGAGGCAGGCGGATCCCTGAGTTCAAGGCCAGCCTAGTGTAGAGACTGCGCCAGAACAGCCAGGGCTGCAGACTGAGACCCTATCTCAAGAAAACAGCAAACACTAACAAAAGACTCCCAAAGTCCACCCCCAGTGACATAGTTCCTCACACAAGGCTGTACCCGTCCCCCCAGAACCTCCCCAGATAGCACCATCTGGGGAGCCAAGTGTTCAGCGCCTGAGATGATGGAGAACTTTTTTTCAAACTACTGTGACCGTGTCTGGTTTTGGTTTTGGCTTTTACAGTGCAGGGGAATGGAACCAGAGATCTCAAATATGCTAGGTAACTCTTCTCTACACCACTTATTTTCAGCCTTAAACCCAGTCTGTATCCCAGGCAGTCTTGAACTTGTGAAGCCACTGCCTCAGCCTCCACATGCCTCAGCTGGGGTGACAGGTCTAAGCTACCAGGCACAGCTGAGTTCTATACCCCTAAGGTGCCCATAGGCTACTCCAGCCCGTGGGCCCATAGCCCCCATCCTTGGTACAGCAAGGCAAGACTGCACAGGTGTGTTTGGCAGGAGCTCCATGCCCGGTTGTCTGTGAGGACAGGGTATCTTCTCTGTGGCTGTCTCTATAACAATCCATCACTTGGTAATATGCATAGGGCTTGAGATCCCGAACTTTGGCGGCCGCGTGCAAGCTCCGCCTGCAGCTAACAGGGCTGAGCATGCCACCAGTTTGCAAATGTGCTGGTTATGTCATCTGCCTCAGTCACCTCAGTTCAGGTCTGAGGAGCCAGCTGTCAAAGCACAGGGGTGGGAAATCTCAGCTGGGGAGAACCCGTGCGGTGGGCTTGGATCTGACCATTGGTGCAACAAGGCCCTAAGTGGCAGATGCTCCATCTCACAGTTGACTTCATTTATTCTGGTATCAAGTCGTTAAAATGGTGACACATTGACCATCTAAAGAGATGGCCTCAAAGTGCTGTGGTCCCTTAGAGATGCTGCTGCTGCTGCTGCTTGTGGATGCACCTGGGATGGGTGGGAAAGATTTAGGTCCTGTGTCTTGCTAACTAGATAATCTGGACACCATGACCCTCAGCTCTCTAGTGTGACACTTAAACCAAAAGTTTCTCAGTTGGGTGAGATGTGTAGCACGCAGAGATGGTGAGGATCTCTTGTGTAAGGAGGACTGGCCGGCTGGGATGCATCCTCCCCACTCATCCTGCCCATCTCTGTGATAGTGAAAGTGTCCTGCGTGGGCCACCATACTGCCTGAGAGAAGCATCTTTGGGTTGTGTCATGCCCCAAAAGAGATAGGAGTCATTTCTACTGAGAGAAGAGCTCTGCATCCTCTGGCCACGAGAGTGTGGTATTCAAGGTGTGAAGCCTTCCACCACAGAACTAAAGGAAAGCCCAAGCCACAAGGCTGCTTCCCTTGAGACTAGAGTGGATGATGTGTAGGTAAGAAGACAGGTGGTTGACCAGATGTCCAGCTAGGATGCCTACTAGGCTCCCACTCCACAGCCAGCAGGGTAGCATATGGAGAAGCTGAGGCAGGGCACTGTGTACTTTTATGATGTAGATGCAGTGTGGGAGGTATAGCCTCTCTTCTCAGGAAGCCATAATCCTGGGGTAACAGTTGGATGCCAGTCGGGTTGGTTCAGCCACGGGAGTAAGCACAGCAGACGGCAGAGGCTGCCTGAAGAGCCAAGGGGACACTTGAATGCCATGCTCCTCTTAAGAGTCCGGATTAGCCAGAAAGCCGGCGTTCAGCCAGGAGCAACAATCCAGTTTCATCGAGTGTCTTGTTGAAATAATCCTCTTCATCTGTCTCCATCACACACTTGTGGATGGAACACCCTGGGAGCATGGAACACCCTGGGAGCACATTTGGTGGGGTCCTCTAACGGTGGATGAGGCTTTCTCTGGCGGAGAAGGAAAGGACGCCCAGATTTGAGACACACTGCCAAGGAACCTGGGGAGTGGATTCACCTGGGACGGGTGATACAGGGAAATCTAGGCAAAGAGATGCACATCAGGGGTGCGATGGGCACATCTTTCTAATGCCACGGTGCCTTCTGTGGACCGAGAACAGCTGGAAACAGGTTTCTGACTCACTCATTGGAACATCACTGCTACAAGGACTCAGTTTCGACTCACTCCTTCCTCCCCTGACCCCTTTTGCCTTCTGGCTCTAAAACTCATGACATCTCTGCTGCCTCTGCCCTGATTCCAAAGCACCCTTGACTCCCAGACCTGGGATCTGCTTTATCCACAAATAGCTCAGAAAGGTGTGTCATCCAGGTCACTGGCTCACGGCCAGCTTAGCGTGGGTGACTCGGGTGAGGGAGTGAGTGACCTTTTCGGGAAGTGGAGAGGGCAGAAACAAGACTTGGCTGGCTTGCAGAGTCTCTTGAGAAAACATACAGAACACTTCCAATCAGAAGATCCTAGGGGAGCATTTAATTCCCGAGCGCCACTCAGATGAGCCTGTGAGGGGGTCGCTTGTTCCTATGGCAAGCAGTGAAGACATCCAGAGGTGGGTGTGGCCTATCTCTGCAGGTGCCCTGCTGTTATACCTTAACACACCATTCTGGGGCACACAGATTCACTTTCGGTGCACAAGAACTAAGAAACTGGCTATCTTGGTGAGACTACATTTGTCACACCAGTTTGCTAAATGTGCCATCGAGTTTAGCTTTCTCCCCGAGGGACAGACCAGCTGGTGATTGGAGAACATTGTGATCTTATAGTAGGTCACAAGAGAATGTGCCTGCCTGAAAGATGCTTGCAGGATTTAGGTGAAGATTGTACTGGGAGGAGTTCCCAGACCGCCCTGTGTGGCTGTCCATGGTGCTGACTGCCCTCTGGTGCGATTCAAACCCTGTGACTGCCTCCAAACTTTCCCTGGACTCAGCCCTTTCCTCTCCCTCTCCCTCTCCCTCCCCCACCCACCCCCGGCTCCCTCTCACCCCTGCTCCACCCCCCTCTAGGTCCCCCTCTCCCCTTTGCCCTCTCTCCTACCTTGATGAGGCATTATGAAATTCACAACAACACTGAAGAATCCAGCAAATCCCTCTGAGCTGGGGTAGTGAATTCTGTCCACGATTGCTAGCTCTGGAGATTCCCATCTTGGAGAGCTGGAAGGAGAATTCTGTGTGGTTTGTGCCTTCCACTCACTTCCTGCCACTCCGACCTCCGGCTGGTCCAGGAAACTCACGTCTCTTTGGATGGACCTTGCCAGCTCCTTCTCAGCCAGACTCTCACAACAGGTGGACTCGGCTGGAGCTTCTCTATGCAAAATTCGCAAAGGGGAGTGAGCAGGCGGACACGGCACTGCCATGGATTTTCCACCCCAATTTTTCTTTACTACACAGACTCTGGCCAGTCTACAGATCTGTTCTGAGCCTCTAAGTGTTGACTGTAAATTAGGGACAACCCCAGCCATCACCAGGCCATCACAGAGTGCCTGAGGATCTGGACAGCATCAGCATGGTGCACACTGCTCCTAACAGAGTCCCCAGCTTTGCTCTGAGAACTGCCTGGTTCAAGCTACCTGCATTTCCAACATCCACAGGACCTTCTGGTGATGTATAAAAATAGCTTCCTTGAACTTGGACAGGGAGGCTCTTGGTGTAATTCAGTGTCTCTCTGACTGTAGGTAGCTCATTGGCTGAGAACAGCTTCCCGCTAGCAGCGTCCCTAACCAGCGTCTTTAATGCAATGGAACTTGGTCTAATTACCCAGGGGGTGGTGGCCTCTTTCTGACCAAGAAGGATTCCTCCACATCTGCCTCTGAGCCTGTGCCGGGTGACACTCACCATTTTTTTTTTTTTTTTTTTTTTTTTTTGTGACGCACCAGAACAATGAAGGGACAAGACTTCAGAGGCTCTCACACCTGCCCCTAGCAAAGAATACCAACACGCCATTGCTCCGCTCAGCTCTTTCTAGTAAAAAGTTCAAGCTACTGGGGTCATGCTTGTCCCCGACAGAACTGACACTGTCAAAATGTGGGGCACAGCCTTCGGCAACCGCCTCAGGATCCTGCTGTGGAGCCTGTGAAGAATTCTGGGAAATAAGTGTGGCTGGCGTGGGGTCTCGGGAGCCCCGCCCTAGCACTGGGTGCAGCTCATGTGGAGCAGCGGGGTGTGGGAAAACACCATTGTTGTGCCAGACGGCTGGGACAAAAGCCTGCTCTGCACGGGATGCGCCTGACACCGTGGTGCACACGGAAAGCCGCCGGTACAGTCACCATGACTGCTCTTTGGTAAGGGCTGTCTGTGGTGGAACATGACTGGGGATGTCGCTCCATCTGTGGCCAGGGGGAAGGGTGTGACCCTGGCATCTGTAAGGGATCCTTCCTTAAGAGTCCTTACACTGTCTCTCCAGATACAAGGTGGCTGGTGGCACCTGCTGGGGAATGGAGGAGCAAGATTGGGAGCAGTGAAGTCTTTAGGGACCCAGGCAGGCACTCATGAAGAGACTTCCCTTGGCCCTCTGGGACTCTCCGGAACACAGCACTAGACAGGCTTCAGAGGTGACCTGCCTAAGGGACACAAGGCTGGCGTATTTATTCCCTGGCTCTTACCCATGTCTGGCTGAGAATGGCTCCTGGGGAAGTTGCTGTGTCTGGCTACCCTCATCCTGCCCTGGGATGGGCATGCATATTAAAGGACACTAGCAGAAGCTCTGCTTAGTCCCAGGCCTCCATGCCCACAAGTGGGGGAGATGTCAACCTCATCCACAGATGAGCAAAACCGAGGCTCAGTGAAAAGTGAAGATGACCGTCTACACCCACTCACCCAGATCAGTCGCGCGTCCACACCCGTCCATCTAGGTGATCCCCTTCGCGCTGAACTCTGGAGATTTTTTTCCCCCAACATGAAAACATCATCTTAGTCCTATGGAAATCCAGATATTTCTATGCCACAGAAAGGCTGAAGGGAGCCACTGACCAACTCTGTTTTATTTTCAAATCTAAGAAACACTAGGCAGACAGTCTTGTGACTGGGGAAAGAAGTCAATGGGAAGACACAGGTCCCAGCTACCCCTGGGATGTTCAGTGTCCAGCTGGCCAAGCTGTAGTGGACAGCCATTGAAAGACAGAGATGGCCTCCATCGGGCTCTCCAGACTCCTGAGAGTTGGCTGGACACTTTTCTTGCTGACTTAGAAGGCTCCCGGACCTTCTACGGGGCTCTGCAGCCTTCCCCGGGGGCTCAGTGGGAACATCCTACCTCCAGGAGACTGTCTGCTGCTGGAGCTGATTCTCAGCCCAATGCCCTCTGCACTATGTTCCCACAGTCGCTGTCTCTGTCCCTTTGAGACTCTGCAGCCCTCGCCTAATCTGAAATCACAGCTTCCTGTTCAACCTTCCTCCCTGGGCTCCAGGCGTGAGCAGCTGCTTACACGACAAAGTAGATTTTTTTTTTTTTCAGCACTTGAGCTACAAAGTCCTCATTCTCTCCCCTGCCCTTTGAAGTCTCCTAATGTCCCAGCTGGGACTCCATAGCTCTGCCTCCTTGTACTCAGTCTCAGGGCAGCAGGCAAGGAAGCTGACCTGGCTGCTCTAAGGACCACTGGGAAATGCTGGGCTCCTGGTGTATGACCCACACTTGGCAGGTTAACTTAGGTTCAGCCTTGTCGTAAGCTAAGCGGAGTGAGCCCTGCCATTGCTAAGTGGTAAGCAAGCCAGTGAAAAACCGTGCACGCCATGTGTCTGTTCCTTGAATGGGGGCAGTCCCATTATGAGGCGCAAGGATGCCAAAACGAAGGTGGCCCACAGGGTACCCGCCTCAGTCACCTGTTCACACGAATGCCAAGGCAGGGAGGAGGATCCCCTGGGATACGGAGCTCATTCACTGGGAACAGGCCTCTTCTTTTCCTCTCTGCTTTGGCTTGCTGTGTAACCTCATGTGAATTCCCGCTTTCTCTGGGCAGCCTTCTAGATCTTCCTTCCAGAAGGGGACTTATCGGAGGGACTTACACAGGCGGTGGTCTAAGTCACCCAACAAGGGCTGTCTTCTTACAGAAAAGGTTAAGGGTGTGGTAGCTGTTCAGTCCCCAAAGCTTGAAGCCAGCAGTCCTGGTCCAGCTCATAAGCCCCAGGAAATTACTAGAGAGCTGCTGTTCTTCAGTCTACACTGGTGTCCTGAAGAAGTGGGTTCCAATAACAGCAAGAAAATGCCTCAGTGGCAGGGTAGGTGAACTTGCCAGAGAGAGTGAGGGCAAGCAAGCAGTGGTCTCCTTCTTCCATGTCCTTGTATGGGGGCTGCCCCCAAAAGGCGAGGCCCAGACTCAGGGTGGATCTCTCCCACCTCTCGTGATCCAGTCAAGAAAATCCCTCGCAAGCTTGCCCGGCTACTTGGGCTTTAATTGGTTGATGATCGAGATTAGCCGTCCCTAGGTCTGACAGTTCTGTCTACACCTTCAGATGGAAGTGCGGTGTTCAGGGGCTGCTTCCGCCGACCCAACAACCTCTCCCTGGCCTTGCCTGTGACAGCTGCCATGCCAAACATGTCGGTGGACAAGTGCGTGGACCTCTGCACAGAGAAGGTAACAGCCGGGGCTGTTTGCAGCACTCGGGGTACAAAGACAGGGTGGCATTAAACCCAAGGAACAGGGTGTGGGGCTGGAGAAGCAGCAGTCACGTGGAGTGGATGGGCTCACAGGTCATGACCTGTGATGAGGCAGAGGCATGCATTAGTTCATGGATTCAGGGGGGGGTGAGCCACACAGGGTGACAGGAGTCACCTGCTTGTGCCTAATGGTGAGGGAGTGTGAGGTTGAGGATGCCTGAGGAAGCATACATAGTAAACACTCCTAGTTAGGTGACATCATCAGTGGTGGCCCAGTGGGGACCAGGTGCATGTTGCCTTTCTCTCTGCCGCTAAGCAGTTCCTATAAAATATCTTGGAAAGAGGAAAGAGCTGTGGGAGCAGGAGCTTAGTGGATGCGGTGTGCAGTTTTCTCTCCTGAGTCTTCCTGGACCTATGACCAGGGGGCAATCGGGCTGTGTCTTGTTTACAAGAGCCGAACTAGACAGAGATAACCTGGCCACCAGGGGGGCAAAGGAGACAACCCAAGGCTTCTTTGGGTGTGAGCACATATATCCTTTCGGTTTAAAAGCACAGATTTGGGCCAACAAGATGGGTCAGTCGGTGGGGAAAGGCTTGCCACCAAGCCTGAAGACCTGAGTTCGATTCCCAAGACTCACATAGTGGAAGGAGAGAACTGGTTCCTGTGTGTTGTCTTCTGCTACATGTTCATATGGCATGCGCATGGACACACAATCAATTGACAGTTTACAGCACAGAGTTAGACATTGTCACACAAAAGACGGGTGCAGGATGGGAAGAGACACGCCCTCCCCCTGATTCTCACGGGCTCCGGGGGAAAGTGTCAGTACAGTGCTGACCCTCGGCAAATCCCTTTTGCCAGAAAAGATGGCACTGATCCCAGGCTCGCTCTCAGCAGGGGACAGGGCGCAGGCAGAGTTCACTACCAGCACTAGCCATTCCGTGTCCCTGGGGCTGAGACCCATCTCACCCTGCACATACCTGCGTCCTAGGACACTCGAGGGTCTTATTGAGCTGGCAAGGCTCTGCAGAGGCCCTGCACACCCTCAGCTGTAGGTGACTTCAATTCCTAATTGTGGTACTAATGCTGTGTAAGGGGTTGCTATGGTGATCGCTGAGGGAAAGGAAAGGGTCCAGGTGTTCAATGCCCAGAATGTTTTAACCTCATTGTGGAGCCAGCAGATGGAGAGGGCTGGTACATTCTACGGGTCTCCTCCCTCTGCTGCGTGGGAAAGTGTGGGAGTCTGCTTCCCTGTTGATCTTCCTGGTTACGGATGCCGAGTTTATCCTGAGGTCTTATTTCAAATGAGGGATCAGATGAGCAGTTAATAGCACAAGTACTGAAATGGAGGCCATGTGCCAGGGTGAAGAGATGCTGGTGTCTGAGAAGGAGGGTGGCTGGGCAGGACAAGGACCGGATGACTCTTCCTCTCCTCTATTGCCCAGGAATACCCCCTGGCAGCTCTCGCTGGCACCGCCTGCCACTGTGGGTTTCCCACTACACGATTCCCTCTTCATGACCGGGAGGACGAGCAGCTGTGTGCCCAGAAGTGTAGTGCCGAAGAGTTTGAGAGCTGCGGTACCCACAGCCACTTCATTGTGTACCAGACGCAGGTCCAAGGTAAGCCAGCCTGCCCCGGCAGAGCCTCCATTCCCAGACGTGCCTTGGCCAGTCGGGTTCCTAAAGCATGCAACGAGGAAAGGGACTTGATGACAGGGCAGAGGGCTGGGCTGGCGAAGTTGCCTAGGCTCAGGGCTCCTGGGTGCAAGACGGAGGAAGTGTCTGAGGTTCTCATGGCTGTGTCTGTCCCCATCACTGGGGGCCCTTGGTGGTTCTTTGTTGCTAGCACAGGCAGTAAGACTGAGTGGGAAGAGGCCTGAGTCTCCTCTCCTCCAACGCAGACCAGTTTGTGATCCTGGACAGCTCATACCACCCACCTGGGCTTCCGTTCCTCCATCTGGAAAGTGAAGCTATAAACGGTTGGCCTCCAAGGTCCTTTTCAGTTCTGGGATCCCGTCCATGTGTCTATAACTTCTTCCTTCTCTCTCTTTCCTCCCCTCCCTGACCCGAGCAGCCTTTCCATCCCTCTCCTTGTCTGCCAGCACAGCCCACACTGTCTGTCTCTCTCCTGCCTATGGGGGGGGGTGGCAAGTGTAGTGACGATGATGACAGTGGCTACGATGGTAAGGTTGGTGGTGATGATGGTTGTGATTGGGTGTTGATGAAGACGGTGATGATGACTGTGACGGCAATGATGGTTGTGATTGGGTGTTGATGAAGACGGTGATGATGACTGTGACAGCAATGATGGTTGTGATTGGGTGTTGATGAAGACGGTTATGATGTCTGTGACGGCAATGATGGTTGTGATTGGGTGCTGATGAAGATGGTGATGATGACTGTGATGGCAATGATGGTTGTGATTGGGTGTTGATGAAGATGGTTATGATGACTGTGACGGCAATGATGGTTGTGATTGGGTGCTGATGAAGATGGTGATGATGACTGTGATGGCAATGATGGTCGTGATTCAGTGTTGATGAAGACGGTGATGATGATGATGGCGATGGCAGTCTTGGTGTGGTGTTGATGATGGTAGTGATGGTGACGATGGTCATGGTGTGGATCGTGATGATGAGAATGACTACACTAGTTAGTTTCTGTCAAGTTGATACAAACCTAGGTATGTCTGTGGGAAGAGGGGATCTCAACTGAGGAATTCTCCCCATCAGATTGCATATAGGCAAGTCTGTGAGACACTCTTTTTATTGATGACTGAGGTGAGAGGCGCCAGCCCACTGTGAGTGGTCCCACACCTGGGCTGATGATCGTGGGTTTCATAGGAAAGCAAACTGAGCGAGCCCTGGAAAGCTACTAATGGCTCTCCTCCATGGTTCCTGCCTTTTGTCCTGCTTAGGTGCCTGCTTTAAGTTCCTCAGTGATTGGCTCTCTTGGACATGGGAAGCCAAATACACACTTTCCTTTGGCCAGTGTTTTATCATAGCAACAGAGAGGCACAGTAGAATAATGATAATGATGGCAGTGATGCTGATGGTGGTGATGGTAAATGAGGGTGGCTATACTGGTAATGAAGGTGGTGATCGTGATGTGGTATTGATTGTGGTGGTGATTGATGAGGGTATTGATGATAAAAATGGTGATGAGATGATATAATGAGTTTCTTGAGTTCCCACACCAGGCTCAACAATAAGACCTTCATATATATACTCCCTTCCCCTCCTCCGCCCCCGCCCCTCTTCTCTCCTATGATGTGGGAACTTTCCCTGGGAATGTGAAGCTCAGACTAGCTGAGGGACTTGCCTGAAGACAGACTATAAACCTTTATTCTTGGTTGGGGCATCTCAAAGGGAAGCTGGGGTGGGGTGGGGTACTCATGCTGGAACAGAGCCTAAGGAAACCCCAGGACTTACACCAGCATCTCCTGTGCACCAGCCACAGGCCAAGCCTCAGCTCATTCTGTAACGTAAAGGCGTCAATCAGCTAGTGAGCAGGGCTGCGCCCGTTTTTACAGATGATAGAAGGTTACGGGACTGGCCACAACCCTATGTCCCAAGCATGTGCCTTCAGAAACAACTCCAAATACCGCGTTAGAATCCTCAGCTCACGATGGGAAGACCATTCCCAACCCCCCTGGAGTCTGAAGAGCAAACGGCACATCTCCGGGTAGACGGCATCCAAGCAGCAGTGCCTAGGTGGACAGGCTGGACGCTGCATGGGTGTGTCAGCAGCAATAGCAAATGCAAGGCCGCCAGCACCCTAGAGGGAAGCAGTGGGTGCCTGTTTCTGATTTGCATAAAAATCCTGTCCAAGAGACTGGGGGCCCCTAGCAGGTTTACTGCCAGCAGTGAGAGCTGTGTTCACCACCTTGGTCTAAGCTGTCACCCAGCAGCGTGTTGCAGGCCTGGAGATGTGGTCACTGCCACCACCAGCTCTCATATACACCAAGAAATTGTTAGCAGTGCATCTTAAAAACCATTATGCTGAGTCAGGAAACCTCTCTTAAAGGAGCCACGCAATCTGCTTGTCTCTCGAAAGTCAGAGTCCAACCAAGAAAAATGCTGTTACCAAGAAACCTTGTTTGTCTCTGTTCTTTTGTTTCTAAAACCCTTTTTTAAGCTTTTGTTAAATTTTAAGTGTAAGTTCTTATTAGCCACGTGGGCGCCATTTGTAAGGAGTAAGGTTTTTCCGCCCGCCGCCAGTCTTGTCCCGCCGCCGCGCCGCCAGCCCCAAATAACACACAGAGACTCTTTATTTGATATAACGCTGTTGGCCAGGTACTTGTTTCTTATCGGCTAGCTCTGTCTTAAGTATTAACCCATTTCTGCTGATCTATGTATTTCTCTTACCGGGGAGCCGGCTGGCATTCTGCTTTCTCCCAATCTCCATCTTGGCTCTCCTCCTTACTCCTTCCTCTTTCCTCCTTGTCTCCTAGTCCCTCCTATCTTCCTTTCCTATTGGCCAACAGTGCTTTATTCATTAACCAGTATGAGAAACATATTCACAGAATGGCGTCTCCCATCAGGGCTCTCTGTCCCATCAAGTTGAGGATGAGGGCTTGTCCCCTGCCGGGCTTCTGTCTATCCTCACTGCGTGCTCTGCGCAGCAGAGTGTCCCTGCTCTTCCAAACATGACTTTGTATCTCCAGGGCACACTGTGCTGACCCCTGACCCCTGTCTTGTCCGTCCTCCTGCAGACAATCGCTGCATGGACCGAAGGTTCCTCCCAGCCAAGTCTAAGAAGCTCATCGCGCTGGCCAGCTTCCCCGGTGCCGGCAACACGTGGGCTCGCCATCTCATCGAGCTGGCCACTGGCTTTTACACGGGCAGCTACTACTTCGATGGCTCTCTGTACAACAAAGGTGAGGGAGGGGTGGGGAGGGAGGGGTGGGGAGGGAGGGTGGGGAGGGAGGGTGGAGAGGGAGGGGTGGGGAGGGAGGGTGGGGAGGGAGGGTGGAGAGGGAGGGGTGGGGAGGCAGGGTGGGGAGGGAGGGGTGGGGAGGGAGGGTGGAGAGGGAGGGGTGGGGAGGGAGGGTGAGGAGGGAGGGGTGGGCGTCCTGCACCACCCAGCATGCTTTTAGGTCTGCCACACTCATCCTGTGTGTCCTGTCTCGGCACCTCCCCTGAGGCTGCTGACTAATTGACATCTGTTAAGCACCTATGATGTGCTCGGTAACTTTCCTCCACTTAGGTTGCCACAGGAATTTCTTAAGCACCTACTGTGTGCTAGGCACCTCACCACAGATACTGACTGACCAACAGCTGTGTTGTCAATATTAGTATAATAACTGCGTTTACATCGGGGCACTTAAATCGAGTATCAACTGTTCACCAGGCATCTTACCTACAGCATTTGCTGTGTGCCAGGCTTTATTTTGATGCTGTTCATTGTGTTTTACTGAGCACCATTATATTAGAAACACGCAGCGGACACTGGTGGCTCACACCTTTGATCCCAGCTCTCGGGAGGCAGAGGCAGGCGGATCTTTGTGAGTTCAAGGCCAGCCTGGAGCTGGTGCAGAGGCCATGGAGGGTGCTGCTCACCGGTTTGCTCCTCATGGCTTGCTCAGCCTGCTTTCTGATAGAACCCAGTACCACCAGCCCAGGGATGGCCCCACCCACAGTGGGCTGGACCCATAACCATCAATTATTAATCAAGACAGCACCCATAGGCCAACCTGTTGGAGGGAATTCCTGAGCTGAGGTTCCCTCTCTGTGAGTGTCTTGAATTTGTGTCAAGTTGACAAACACTAGCAAGCACACGGGGCCTGTGCCTTCCGATCCCAGCTCTCTGCATTTGGTTTGGGTTTCTGGTCTCATTTACTTAGCACCTACTCTGTGTGAAATAGCTCCTACTATGTGTGAGGCACCTGTCAGGATTCGAACCCAGACCCTCAGCAGAGCCTGTGCTGTGCTGTCTTTATGAGCTGGTGGCTGGGGGACAGGTCATTCTCAGCAGGCCCAGCCTAACTGCTCTGGCTGCACAGGCTCCACCCTCAGAGAAGGGGCCCCTGGGGTCACTGAGACCAGGGAGCTAAAGTGGTTTCATCTCCCGTGTTCAGTTCCGTGAGCCCCACTTTGCCAAGACATGTTAGAAGGATTCTGAGGTTGTTTCCCCTCGGTGGTTTGAAGGGAAGGAAGGGAAGCAGCTGCCTAGACACCCGGTACTATTTATTCCTCCGCCGACTCCCTCCTGGCTTCAGAGAGCCGTGGAGCTGTCAGTCTGAAAGTTCTTGGCGCTTTGCACACTGGGCTCAGACTCCCCTTGCCTCCCGAGCCTTGGGCTCTTCATCTGGAACATGGGGAGTTGGCATCGAACAAAGATTTTCCAAGAACACAGCCAGATAGTGCCAGGAGGGGACTATCCCTATGTCTTGGGACAATCTTCTGCTAGCTCCTCAGAGCCTAAGGGCCACATGCCTGAGGGTCCCCAAATAAGTAGATACCTGCGCTGGTTCTCAAAAAGTAGTACTTAAATGCACCACATTTGGGTAACGGTGGCCCTGGGGTGTAGAGCGGGGGGTGGGGGTGGAGGGGGATTCAGCAATTCCCTGTGACTTACTGACAGGTGAGCAACACTCCTCAGGAAATCCCAGCCCGTTGTCCTCCCGAAGCTCCTTTCTAGTCAAAACTTCTTCTGGAATATGTTCTGCTAAACACCTACCCGGTCTACTGGCCAACGCCCCGGGGGTGGAGTGAAAATTTAGACTCTGGAGTAGGTATGTGTAGACAGTCATGGCTCATCTCGTCTGTTTATTTTTGATCTCCACAAACATGGTTGATGGCATGATGGCATTGAAGAGACAGCATCTCGGGTCTCCTAAGACATGGGGGTGGCCTTCTTTGGGGGACTGGGGAGTTCTCGTTACTGTTCCGTTGGTTTTGGTTTCTAGAGATGGGGTCCCCACCACAACCAGGATGTCTTCACGGCATCTCCAGGCAATGCCAATCCACCTGCCTCAGCTCCCGAGCATGGGGACTTCCACTACACCCGGAACTGACGCCATCTTTCCGAGGACGTACTTTCTCCTCTGAGAGTCACTTCTGTTCTTGAAAGCCTCTCTGGTGTCACCCCATTGCTGGGCCTGTGATAAAACGCATTTCAGTGAAGACAAGATGAAGCCACGGGTGGGAAGTCCTTGCCCGGCTGTACAAAGTGTGGCATGGGGTTGTAGCCAGGGCCAGCCCCACCCCCTCATCCTCGGTGCCCTCAGGGAACTGTGCCTCGGAGAGCCTCAAAAACTGTTGATAAAGATCTGGGGGCTGGAGAGATAGATGGCTGAGAGGTTAAGAGCACTGGCTGCTCTTCCAGAGGACCTAGGTTCAATTCCCAACACCCACATGGTGGCTTACAACCATCTACAATGAGATCTGGTGCCCTCTTCTGACCTGCAGGCGCACAAGCAGGCAGAACACTGTATACATAATAATAAATAAATCTTAAATTTAAAAAAAGATCTGGTCACAGATATAAGCCAGCCCAAATTTTCAAGACTGATCTAATCCCAAGACTTAGCCAAGCAAACATCCCCTGGGTGAAGCAGAATTCAGGAAAGGGCATTCCATTTCTGCCTCATCTGCCTACAGGCCCTACCAGGGCAGCCACAGCTCTCTCTCTGGGCCCCTAGAACTAGATTAGGTGCCAGCCCTTACCTCCATCCACCTCAAAAGCTATAGATAAGACATTATACGCATGGGCTGAGCAAGAAGACACCGCACCCCATGGCCTGGCAAGGTCCCGTGGCCTCTCAGCCCAGGATTTGCTGTGGCTGGTGTTACGTTCCTGTAACAGGTCTGTTTTGGCTCATCCACTCCATCATTATAGGGGGGCATCAGGGAGCAGCTCAGTCCCCAGGAGAGAGATCCTTTACCACAGCTCCATCGCTGGTGGATTAGAAGGCCCACCCCCATACCCCCACACCCCCGCCACCTAAGACCCTTTAATTAGAGTCCTGCTCTGTGTCTTACCAGTTTCTCACAAAGGCTGTGTGAAGAAGGAGCAGATGAGAAACTGAGGCCTAGAGATGTCTTGGTCACTCGCTGTCCTAGAAACAGCATGAAGGCCACCCTTGACCTTCAAGATTTCCCCAGTGCCCAAACCCTCAGAGCATGGGAATCTTGGCGGTGGATGGACACAGGGTTTGGTGCCTCTGATTGTATCGTATGACTCCTCGACCCTCTCTGGCTGTGTTCTCAGCCACCCATCCTAGGGTGTCCCTCCCTCTATCTGTCTCTGTCTCTCTCTCTCTCACACACACACACCAGGACTTTGGTACCTGCGGTCCCCTGACCTTTCTTATCTTTGGCTAGTGGTTTCCTCCTTGACCTTCCTTCAGTTTTCAGATTGAGCATCCCTACCCAGAAGGCCTTCCCACATGCCACAAGCTCATGAATTGGGCTGGGGCCACGTCTGTACCTCAGAGGGTGGAGGTGTAGCCAGGGTTCAGAACAGTCACCCAGCCGGTTCCCTCCCGGCTCACTCTCCAGCTGCTGCGCTGACCGACAGCAGCTGCGAATTCAGTCCCTCTGGCATTGTGTTTTATGGGTGCCGCTCTCAGAAGCCGGACGGCTCTGCTCTGCTTCTGTCTGGACGGTTCAGCAATGTGGGTGCTCAGAACACACGCGGGAAGGAATCAGTGCCTGAGTCAGGAGAGTGAGCAGCCCTGAGGCGGTGCAGGAGGGGGGTGGTGTGTGCTTCCTGCCTCCCCGGCTTCCTGCCTCCCCGGCTTCTTACTTCTCGCCTGGGGTTGGGGACAGGGTTCAAAGGCGAGAGAGACCACTGGCGCAGTGGGAGGACCATTTGCATCAAGACCCATGAGAGTGGCCAGAAGGAGATCGAGGCCTTCGACGCAGCTATTCTGCTCATCCGAAACCCCTACAAGGCCCTCATGGCCGAGTTCAACCGCAAGTATGGAGGTCACATAGGCTTTGCTGCCCATGCCCACTGGAAAGGCAAAGGTACAGGAGGGGCCCGGGGCAGTATGGGGTGCAGGGTGGCCCGCATGGGGTGGCAGACAGGAGGGCCCAGGGCGGTCTGGGGTGCAGGTAGCCAGCATGGGGTAACCGGCAGGAAGCTCTTCAGAAGGACCCAGAGCTTGTGCAAGGCTGCATATCTGGGCAGCGGCGGCACCACGGGACCACAGCCAAAGCACCAGCCATGTAGCCCAGGAGCTCAGGGTTCAGACCTTGCAGTGGGACTCCCTTGTAACGGGAACACTGGCCCTTATACTGTATTGAACAACTCTCAATTTCTGGACTTAGGGGGGGACGAGAAAATGGTGGGGTGCGGGAGGCTGGAAGGGACCACGCTCTCTACTCAGCAGCCCTGCCTCCCATTCTGGTGATGATGGCACTGCTGGTGACATCCAGATGACATTGGCGGCACGAGTTTGTGGGTCCTCCCCTGAGGACAACTCTGCCTGTGTCCAGCCCCTGTGTGCTGGTGAGACCCCAACAGCGGTGTGACCATTTTCAGTGAGCCTACACAACAGCTCCAACCCACAAGGTTCAGAGCGTTCTCTTCCCCTGTTCCGGCTCCGTGAGAGGCCTGAGACAGTGAGCAGGGCGAGGCTGGGACTCGGCTTCTGCACCGAGAACCTTGCTTCTCTCTTTACTAATGAGGAAACGGAGGCCCAGAGAGGTAGAGACCGCCAAGGTCACTGGGAAGCCCAGTGGTCAAGCCAGCTCTCCCGTTCCCAGGCCTCCTGGGGTCTGAGAGTAGGGTAGGGTGGGCTCATCGCTGAGCCACCCCTGTGTCGTCAAACCCTCCAGGAAACGGGGAGAAAGTGTTTCCTGTGGCAGGACAAACAAAGCTTGGTTAGCAACCCAGGTGCCGCTGAGCTGGGATTCCGACCAGGAATTGATTGACACCCCACCCCACCCCCATCCCCCCTCAGGCTCCACGTCCAGACGCGTTCACTCCCCCAGCAGCCACCTCATGACCTGTTTCCTTATTTAAGACACCTGGGCCCCTTAGGTCAACGCTGAGTCAGGGCGGGCTGAACCAACAGAGGGCACACATGGGACATTGGTCCAGGCTCATCAGTCCTCACTCTCCACCCCACCCGGTCCTCCCCTTTGACCCCCTAGGCACCAGGACAACTGGGGGACTCCTTAGCAACACGTTACCAGGCCCCGCCCCAGACCTGCCCAACCAGAAACCTTGCGTTTTCACCGGCCTTCGGGGCCTTCCTGATACACACACTCCGTCTTAAGTGTCACTGCCTTAAATGCTCAGGTGTGGCTGGGGGCTGGTGGCACAAGGGTCACCTGGGATATTTCAGAGTCAGTGTCCAGCCAGGTTTCTCAGGGGCTCCGATCCTCTCCCACGTTTTGAGGGCTGCTCTGGGACAGCCTTGATGTACATTGGGGGAGGGCCACCTGGGAGAGAAGGCCCCATAGCAGAAGAATCCAGTCCCCGTAGGTAGCTCTGTCCCCCTCCCCTGATTAGACTTAGATAAGCCTCCCCACCCCCCAACTTTGGTTCCATAACGTTAATTTTACAACCCCTCTGGAGCTGGACCAAGGCAAAATTTTATGTGATATGATTACACAAGGTGAATTGTCCTGAATCTGTTTAATGAAACAGATCCTGTGTTTAATGATTCCGTGGGGAACTGGCACCGAGAAACCATTCATCAGGGCCTGGTTCCTCCTGACAAGAAGGGCAGGCCTACATGCTACATGCCAGGCCTTGGCTACCGGGGTGCCTTTGTTTCCGGATTTGCGGGTGCTGAGCTCTGGTGGGGGAGGGCTTTTGATTCCATTTCTGTTCTTTGCAATGGAGTCCTTTAGGAGCTTTGAGACGTGAGGGGTTGGAGTGTGTGGGCAAACAGCTCAGAACAGCTCAGGGTACTGCAAGCTTTGGGAGGGAAACCTGGGGGGGGCATTGGGATGGGGCGCGTAGGGCGTCTCAGGAAAAGCCGCCCCCACCCCACCCCAGACACCAGCAAGGCAGCATTTACTCTTGTTCACCGGGCACCTGCCAGGATCTTTGCAAAGCTTTTATCCTAAGAGGCCAGGGTGCTACTCCAAGCACCTCCAAGGTCACCTGGCTGGAAAGTCATCTCTGGACAGCCCCTGTGCCTCAGCCAGCAGCCAGACAGAGAGGCCTCAGCCAGCAGCCAGAGGTAAAGGACACAGCAGGTAGACAGAGAGGCAGCTTCCTCTTATTAAAAGGTGCAGGTGGCAGGGTCAGAAGACACACCAGGCAAGCGTCTTCAAGATGCTCACACGGCCACACCTGAAGTCTAGACTTGCGTGGCGCTAGATGTCAAGGGCCAGCCACACCTGGTTTCTCCTGGGACATGGTAGCTGTCCTGATACACCAAGGATGCTGAGAGGTAATCCAGAAGTGAGGAGAGGCTGACAAAGCAAAGGAGCCCCCGTGCCTAGTTGAAGTTTCCTAATCATCCAGATACATCTGGTCCTAGCCCATTGTAACAGTACGGGCCCAATTAGTCAGCTGCCTTGTGAATAATCTATTTTAAGAATAAAAAATAACCTGTCACCAGCATAAATATTTCTCAAGTAGCCGTGGGGTTCCAGGATGGGACCGGGAGAGAGGCATCTCGGGACAGCTCCGATGAGTTCTGTCAAGAAAAGCAGCCTTTTATCACCGTGCAATTTAGCAGTTGGAATTTCAATTTAGTTTAGCGGCGGTTCCCCCCAGCTCCTGCTGGGTACCAGGCTGTGGCAGGAATTGGGGGGCCAGGCTGCTGGTGTCTGCAGAGGATCTGAGCCTGGTGACAGGGTACACCGCAGCCTTTTCCTTTTGGAGTATGGAGGAGAACTAAGTGAAACGGTAGGAACCTGTCACCCAGAGAGGGGTTAGGATCTGGGAGGATTTTAAGTCCCAGACCTAGCACTGCCCGTTCTGCAGGACACCCCCTCCATCAACCGATGGCCCTTCAGTGCCTCCTAGGGGTCCTCCAGATGAGCTGGGGCTGATGCTGTTCCCAGCATTCCGGTGCCCACCTTGGGCAGTGCCCGGCTTCCCTCCCACCCGAGCCGGAAGCTCTCCTTGAGATTTGCTTGCTCTACAATTACCCAAGGAATGAATGCTCCCTGTAGATGGCTTCCCAAGGAGTACACCCTGTAACCTGCCTCTCAAGTCGGGCAACCCCAGAGGCGCCCTCCCCAGTCAGGTGACTTTGTATCACAGGGCGAGATGGCTGATGAGCCCCCCCCAAGGGACAGTTCCTGACAGTTTGAATAGAGTAGAGAGACCACATGAACAGAGTTACCGATCAATCCTGTTGAAACCCCCTCCCCCCCCATGGGCTCAGCCATAGGTGGAGACATGCGTAAGCAGAGTGACTACACAGTAATTACTCACTGTGTGGTCAGGAGGAATAATTGGGCCTGCAGAGCCCAGAGGAGGCCCCTGCCCCAGGCCTGGGAGCCGTGAGAGGATTTCTTGAGCCACAGCAAGGACGGTAGTAGCCATGCTTACTGAACAACTGTAGGATTCAGGCCAGTGTGCTGACAGTCTGTCCCCCCCCACACACACACACATCCCCACCCCCATTCACACACAGGCACGCGCACACACGCATGCACACACGCACGCGCGCACACATATGTACACATGCACACACACATGCACACACACACACACACTGCTCACCCCCAATGCTCAGGCCAGCGTGCTGACAGTCCGTCCCCTCATTCCCCCACCCCTCACCCCGCCCCACCCCATGCTTTCACCACAGTTGGTACGCAGCCCACCGTTCTCTGAGTTCATGCTGTGGTTGCTCACAACACCTTGGTAGCAAAAGGCCCCCTCGGTGCTACCAGGGTCTCCCAAGTCCTGCCCTGTCACTCATTCTGAGTGACCTTGAACAGTCACTCGCCCACTCTCTGCCTCAGTCTCCCCCTCCCCTTCTGTTAAATGATGGCCATGACGTAGCAGAGCTCGGAGGGCCGAGTGGAGCCAACGCCTGCCTACACCCACAATTACAGCCCAGCAGCACGCCTTCATAATCACCATAGTAACGGGGACTTCAGACCTATGGAGTGAATATACTTACATAAATCGTGTGTGATATAAAGCCAGGCATGGTGGCGCACACCTTTAACCCCAGCACTCGGGAGGCAGAGGCGGGCGGATCTCTGTGAGTTTGAGGCCAGCCTGGTCTACAGAGCGAGTTCCAGGACAGCCAGGGCTACAAAGAGAAATGATGTTCCCAGAAAAACAAAACAACAAAAACCTCTCATGTAAGTTTTATATAAATTTGCAGAGTGTAGTGTCTAGGAGAGAGTAGGCAGTCCCTGGACACAGAATAGAGTCTTTTTATGATGTCTTTTTTTCTTTCAGTTGATGAAATCACATAGTTGTCTTTTGTTGTAATTGTTTGGTTTTTTTGTGGCAGGGTTTCTCTGTAGCTTTGGAGCCTGTCCTGGAACTTGCTCTGTAAAACAGGCTGACCTCAAACTCACAGAGATCTGCCTGCCTCTGCCTCCTGAGTGTGTGTAAACACATATGGTGCTCTGTCTGCATGTACAACTTTATGCCAGAAGAGGGCGCCAGACCTCATTACAGATGGTTGTGAGCCACCATGTGGTTGCTGGGAATTGAACTCAGGACCGCTGGAAGAGCAGCCAGTGCTCTTAACCTCTGAGCCGTCTCTCCAACCCCCTCTGTTGAATTTTTAACTGTGGTGTAACACATTAAGATGATCTGTAAACTCAAAGATATCTGTGAAAACCTCAAAGTAAAGTTTTTAAAATGACAACTCAAAAAATATATGTTTAGGGTTTTCTCTTACATTGGCCTTGCCAAGATACAGATCTTGAAACCCTGCTTGTTCATTCATTGTTTTTAGTTAGTTACTTAGTTAGTTAGTTAGTTTTTGGTTTTGTTTTTTCGAGACAGGGTTTCTCTGTATTGCTTTGGAGGTTGTCCTGGAACTCGTTCTGTAGACCAGGCTGGTCTCGAACTCACAGAGATCTGCCTGCCTCTGCCTCCCGAGTGCTGAGATTAAAGGCATGCACCACCAACTCCCGGCTCATTCATTGTTTTTAAAGAGCCACTGGTGCTCAAAAATATCCTTCAGCCCAGATAGAGGTGGCACACACCTTGAATCCCAGCACTCGGGAAGCAGAGCCAGGTGCCTCTCTGTGAGTTCAAGGCCAGCCTGCCTGGTCTACAGAGTGAGTTCCAGGACAGTGACACAGAGAAACCCTGTCTCGAAAAACAAACAAAAAAATCCTTGAAATGTATAAACAAGACACACCTAAAACACAGATGTGAGCGAGCCTGTGAATCTGTAGGAAAGAGTTCAGTGTGGCAGGTGATTGTCACTAGGAAAAACATGCTAGAGTAGGAGTAATCTTATAGTTACTTTACACCCTCAAGGGATAGGGACCGTGTTGTAAACAGAACAGGATAAGGATCTTCAGGGGAGGACATCTTCATCAGAATTGTATCTTGTTCTTAAAAGCGGATTTAAATGGATTTTTTCCATCTTAAAAACTCATGTTAGTTGTCCCAAAGAAAGACTGGGACCATTAAAAGAGCCGAGGGAAAAGGGGACGCACTTTTGGTCGATGAGGTCACACGGGGAACAAGGAGTTCCCTCACGTCTGTCTTCAGGGACCTGGGGTGAGGTCATCGTTTAGAAGGCACAGGAAATGCAAGACAGATCAGTCCTGGTCAAGGTGGCATCGCTGCCTGGGTTTCAGTCTTGTGCTCGAAGGCAGTTGACGAGTTGCTGGAACTGTTGGAAATCTCCTTCAGGGAGACCAGGCGTGAGATTCCTGGGGGAACTCCTATATCCCGAGGGTCCATTGCGTCATCGGCCTGATAGTCGGACTGAGACACACATGTGCCTCTTAAGAACACCTTCATGTCTGCCAGGGGATCAGTTTTTATGATGATGTTCCCCAGAAAAGCCATGCGCTACTACATGTGAGCCAGGAGCTGAGCTGGATGGGCCTGGGAGATGTCTGCGGTTGGTGTCAGTGGTGCTCAAAACATGAGAGAGATTAAAGGAACGCAGAACCCCTAGTGTAGGAGGGTCAACAGGTCAGAGTAGCAGACAGGGGAAACGCCCCAAGATGCTTGAAGATGGGTCGCGGCTGGATACCGACAGATTCCTTCGGTTGTCTTCAATAGGCTGGGTTCCCCTAAGCTCAGACCAAGCTGAGATTTGGGGGTTTTAAAGCTGAAAGGAACTTTAGAGCTGGTTGAGACACTCTAATGTAAGCATGAGAGCTAAAGAGAAACAATCTGCTTTAAAAAAAAAAAAAAAAAAAAAAAAAAAGGCATAAGACAAGAGACAGCAAAGAAGCAAGCCAGATAGACCAGAGAAAGCAGGAGAGAGGGAGGAGGAGCTGTCTTAGAACTTGCCTTTATTTTGACATAAACCTCCCAAAAGATTTTGTTAACTTTTTATTTTAGCAACTAATTTAACTCATGTGGCTTTAAGAGCTCTTTGTTATAAATCACCAATTTGATCAGCTTGGGGAGACCATTTTACATCTTAGTTGAAGGCGGCCGCCTGTTTGTAACTTTTGCCTAGGACTTTGCTTTTACTGCCCTACTGCTTTGGAGGTGGTAACTGTCTGGGTTATCTTTAGTGTGTTTTCCCCAAACACTTGCAACAATTATCACTCCTAGAACCAGATGGCCGTTTACCTCCAGGCAGTCCCTCCTTTTTGGAAACCTCATTGCATATATAATTTTTCCTTTCTTTTTTCTATTCCCCTGAAAAGTCACCTGTCCCTGCTAGTTAGGTGGTGTGTGGTTTTTGGTCAGTTTTATATGCTGCTTTTAGCATCGACTTTCTCCATCTTCTACTGGGTCTTTGGTTAGCCCTACATGTTGACACAACCACATGGGAGCTCAAGACACTGAACAAACCCCCCTAAGTGTCTTCCCAGATGGAAACAATGGCGTGTTTTCTAACCCCAGAATGGGGCATGTTTGTGGCACACAGGAAGGCAATCCTCCCCCCACACCACCCCACATTGAGGTAGGAGGGAACAAGTGTCTCTTGTCTTCAGTGTCTATCATCAGATGATCACAAAATTCATAAGCCAAAGGTTTGGCAAGGTCACTGGAGAAGCAGAAAAAAAAAAAAAAAAACAGAATTAAGCATTTGGGGAGCGGTAGGAAGCAAAGGTCAAATATCAGGAAGCAAAGGTAAAGTGCTAATAACTCACAATGTTTCAAAGACGAGGAAAAACAAGACCAAGCAGAAACCAAAATGACTTCAAAGTCCCAGAAGCAAGCAAAAGACTGGGAACAAGCATAGTAGCCGAATCTGGCTGCCTTTAGCTCTGAATGCAAGCAAGCAAGCCAAACCAAGTGTAGAACAAACTGATAACCTTAAAACAAATACTTTGAAAGCAGAAGAGAAGAGATCCCTATCAAAGTATGATCTGTTTGCCAGCTCAAAATAGACAAATAGACTGTCCACAAATCCAAAGAAGGTCTGGGGCCCCGGCAAGGGCTCACCAACCATCCACCCTAGTGAGGAAATAACCCCAGATGCCCGGGGTTCAGCGGACCCATACAGGTACCTGGCTTCTATTCAAGCGACTCCTCTGGTGAAAAGTGGACCGTTTTTGGAAAGCCACATGTCACCGTATCTGTTAACACACACACACACACACACACACACACACACACACACACACACACACACAAACCCATGGCTCATCTTAAACAGAATATATATGAGGAAGTTTACTCGGGAGCCATTTCGAGAGACTACAGCCTGGGAAACACAGGTTTATGTTCCCAAACTCTATGTTCCAACGTGGAAGTAGTTTCACGAACTTTTTGTCGTTCTACAAGACAAAGGACGTCATAAACCAAGTCAAAGTTAAAAATACATGGGCAGATGCATCAGAGAGGCAGGTACATCGAGATAGGGGAAACTTTTCTACAGGCCCGAGAAGCTATCTGAAGAGCAGCAGTCTTAGCTTTTAGGATGGACGGAAGCTAGTGACCCGCTGAGTTAATAGATTCCAAAGGACTCTGTCTACAAGCCAGAAAATGTTAGAATGGCGGTTCCAAAGGGCTAGAACTAACCCCAAGCTAAGGTAATTCACCCCCGGACATGCAACATCCCAACCTCTCCACGGTACCGCGGTTCTAATCAGTGTCAGCAGACACAGCTTCTCTCCAAGAGTTCTGGTTCCCGAGATCAAACCTGGGTCTTCCAGCATTCTAGGCGAGCAAGGACCTCCTCCCCAGCCCTTCCTGTGTGGTGCGGCATCCACATAGTGGTAGCATACATTTATATGATGTGGTGATTTGTGTAGAAGGCTGTGCCTGGATTGACCCAGTCAGGTGTGTGTTATCCCAGAGAGCACAGGTTCGTGTGTCATCTGGAAGGTGTGTCATCTGCCCAGCTGAACCCCTGCTGTCTCCACAGAGTGGCCTGAGTTCGTGAGGAACTATGCCCCGTGGTGGGCCACGCACACGCTGGACTGGCTCAAGTTTGGCAAGACGGTACTGGTGGTGCACTTCGAGGATCTGAAGCAGGACCTCTTTGCACAGCTGGGCCGAATGGTCAGCCTGCTGGGCGTGGCGGTCAGGGAAGACCGGCTGCTGTGCGTGGAGAGCCAGAAGGATGGCAACTTCAAACGCTCCGGGCTCCGCAAGCTGGAATACGACCCTTACACGGCCGAGATGCGCAGGACCATCGCCGCTTACATCAGGATGGTGGACACGGCGCTGCGTAGTCGAAACCTCACCGGGGTGCCCGATGCCTATGGCCCAAGATGATGGGCGGCCATGGAGGGATCCAGCAACCCCCCACGGCTCCAAAGAGCTGGCTTCCCTCTGGCATGAAAACAACCCCAGGCTTCTGCCTGCCTTCAGAGAGGCCCCTCCGAGGCTTGGGGAGAAGACATCCAGGCATCTTCCCCTGGCCGCCTGGTTTGGGGAGTCCCTGTCCCTGCTGTTGAGGGGAAAGCAGAGATGTTTATCATGGCGATGGCAGTGGTTGGGAGGTTCTGGATGGCAGCTGGTGGACAGTTAGACGCAATGACCCTGTCTCTTCCCCTGAGCAAACACCGGCTTTCTGATCTCTCTCAGGCCACCTCTGTGTGACAGACATACAGCTGGGACCTGTCTCTGTGGCCTTAGGAGTCTAGCTTCTGAGGAGGTGCTTTGTGCACTGCCGTGGGAGCTGCCCCCAGGCTCAACCACAAGTGAGATCCAAGCTGGGTGCTGTTCCGTCTCTAGGGCTGGAACTCTGTCCTCTCTACCCGTGCTGTCTTGGGGGTGGGGGTGACTTTGGGGTTCTCGATCCTTCTCCCAAAGTCCCTTAGGTACCAAAAACCAACCCAACAGGTTGGCCATGCAGCACATACAGAGCCCCACTGACTCATCTTTTCAGGGCGGAGTCCAACGTGTCTGTCTTACACTGCCCTCCTGAGCCCCTAATCAGGGAGTCCTTTACTACCCAGGGGTGGGAACTAAAGTGCTCCAACTCGGAGTGAGCCACACTCAAAACAGCCCCCCTACCTGCCAAGACATCAGCCTCCCTTCCCTTGCTTATAGTCCAACAGAGCCAGTTCCCCCTGGGGACCCCTTGGAAGCGAATACCCCCCCATTCCCACTGCACACTGCTCTCGATGCTGAGACACCAAACCAAAGGATTTCTGACTCGAGTCACCGATCATGTGTTCAGAAGCACGCATCCAGGGTCCTGTCTCCCCACCTTGGATCTCCGTGGCTTTCCCCTCCAGCCCACACCTTCACCGTTCCCATTGCATAGACACAAAAGCCATAGTCACAGCCCCCTTGATCTTCCGTCTGGAGCAGCCCCCACAGCCCTGGGGGGGGGGAAGGACGAGAAAACACTTGTCCCCACCTAGCCAAGGAACTCCGGAGAAGGTTCGTGAAAAGAGATATATTTTTTTAAGAGGAATATGACCAAGACATTCTGCCCCTTGGACACTGGCTTCGCAAAAAGAAGGGCCAGAAACTCTACTTGGTCCCCTTCTCTGATGCCCTCACCTGGAGGGTTTGGACCACCCCGGGGCTCAGCCAGGGGGCTCTGAATGTATTTTGTACGGTGTTTCTTCCCCCACCCGCAGACTAATTTCTAGTTTTCTTTCACTGGGTAGTAGATGATCAGGTCTCCCCCTCCTGTTTGGAGGCCAGTTCTCTCTGGGTCCAGAACCTGGGCCAGTTCCTTGCTAGTGGCCACCTTTGGTCACGAACTTTCTGTTCGAAGATTCCTCAGGTCAACACTGTCATTAAAAAGGGTTTTGTTGCTGATTCTACCACTTGGGCCTGTTGTAGATGTGGAGTTCTAAAAGGGGGTGTTTTCTTGTGTCTGTGTGTGTGTGTGTGTGTGAGAGAGAGAGAGAGAGAGAGAGAGAGAGGAAGGTCCCGAGGAGGGCTGAGGTGTGGAATTCTCTGGGTTTATGCACACATGTGTTAGAGGGAGTCCATGGGAGGTGTCTCGTCTATGTATGAGTGTCAGAGCCCCTGTGTGGCTGCTGCACAGTGTCTTCACTAGGGGAGCCCGTAACAACACAGAGACACAGGGAAGTCTCTCCGACACCCAGAGGTCCTGTGGCTGCCCCATTCAGTTTCCAAACCTCTGCCCTGGCTTCTCACACACCAGACTGTGGGGACAGCTGTGACCACAGAGTTCCCCAGCCAGAAGAAGAAAGGGCTTTTGATGTTGCTTTGTTGGCAGTGAGGAGGAGGGGCAGCTGGGAAAGGCAGGGGGGAGGCAGGATGGGGCTTCACCCCGCTCCGAGTCCTGGGCCACCTACACAGGAGCAAGAACTCCAGTGGCAGAGTCCATGAAAACCATGCTGGTGACTGAGGGGTGATTGGGTCTCAGTGTTCGACCAACTCTGCCCTGTCACAGATGCACCCAGTCACAGACTCTCGGACCTGGGTCACCCAAACTGAGATCCTTGAATCTGGGTCACCGGATCCTAGACCCTTGAACTTGGGTTACAGCTAAATCCTGATACAGTTTATATGATCATATTCATATACTGTTCCATGACCGGTCTTAGACTAGCTCTAATCCTTATCCTAGCTCCACAACTGAGTCCCAAGGCTGGTCCTATGCATACTGAGCCCTGCTCCCAGCTATTTGACCACCCTAACCGTGTCCCCAGGCTGACCTCTGACCTGCCCCTAAACAGATGTCATTGATTTCTCTTAATCTGTATCCTCACTGACTAGGTGCTAACTAAACCACAGTCATAGTTCGGGAGGAGTCTTAACCTTGGCCATGTAGGCCCTGATGTGATCTTTGCGTCAAGGATTGACTAGTCCTGTTGGCCTCGTCCTGAAACGGTATGCTGGCTTGCTTTGAACCTAAGTCCCATCTGTGTCCCTGAGGCTACTTCTACACACCCATGCTCAGTGAGGGAAGCCATGTGGCATCTAGCTGGCCTGGATTCTGGTCTCAGGGCCACAAGGAATCTGCTGTATCCATCCCCTGCCCCTCCCTGATGCCCCAGGCCATGGCTAGGTTGGAGCACCTGTTGCAGACCAGGCCTGCCCTTCCTGTGACCATTTGTAGTCAAATCTTTGTATTTCAGACTTGGAGGGACCAAAGTAGCATCCCTTTGACCACTCACTCACACACACTTCCTAAGCATGTATTGTCCGTGTGAGAGACCCTGCACCCTGTTTTAGAGTCTAAAAAAAGGATTTAAAAAGTCCCCATTCCTTCAGAGGTCACATCTTACCAGGAATCAGAGGAGAGGACAGTAAGGCCCCTGGTGGCCCCTGTGCGCTGCAGACACTCCTCAGCCCCAACACAGAGATTAATTTCAGAACCAAGGCTCTCACTGTGCAAAGCAACATGAAAAATAGCTGTGGGCCCCAGAGGCTCCCGGTACGGGGGCGGGCGGGGGGGGGGGCAGGGAGCATTCAAGCTGGATCCTGCTGTCTTCCACAGCAGCTCCCAGACTCAAGGAGAATAAGGCTGATTATTGGAACCACTTCCAAGTTTTCCCAGGCGCCCTGGAGGCGGCTGGCTGCATCCCGTGTGGGAGGGAAGAGGAGAGGAAAGGGGTGCAGGCAGGTCGTCCAGAGAGGACTGGCACAGGCCCAACCCCCCTCCCCTTGTGTCTTCCTTTGGTTTTCTTTCTCCTCGTCCCTCCCCCTCCTCCTCACTGTTTTTCTCACAACCGTGGCTTTCCTCTCTGAGGTCTGATTTCCTGCAGCTGCCCAGGGTGCCTCTTCCCTCTCCGCCTACCCCTTAACTGCCCCTCCTTCCTGGGTCCCCCTCACCGCCTCACAGCTTTTCTTGGTCCCTGCAATGTTGTTGCAAGTGTCTCTCCATCTCTACCCCTTGATCTTGGAGCTCGCAACTCCTCTGTCCTTCCCTTCCTCCTCCTCCTCTCCCACCCCATCCTGGAGAGTGGGGGTGGCTCTGTGGGATCCAGGCATCATGAGACAAATGTACCCGGGCTGGTAACCAAGGAAGTGGTTTCCTTAGCAACAGAACCTGCAGGCAGGGGCTGCGCGGCCTTGTCCTTAGCTCCGCTATTACAGTAATGGGATGGGGGGGGGGGATGAGAGAGGGGAAGAAAACAGATACCAGGCAAGAGCCTCAGTGTGGCCACAGCCGCTGTCCCTCCAGCGGGGACAACGCTCCAGCACCAGCAAATCGCTGGGTGCTTTGAGAACACTCAAAAAATCGAGACACAAAGTGGGTGAGGGCTGGGAGAGGCAAAGTGGACGGTTTTGGGGTAAGTACCCGAAGGACCAGACCACAGGTCAGACATGTAGAAAAGACAGAAAGAGACAAGCAGGGTCTGGAGCTCCCAGGCTCAGAGGTCCCTCACACTGGGGGATCCTGTGACTGAGTGAGAATACCAGTCACTCAGGTGAGGGTAGGGAGGCCTCCTATAGTTTCTCCTATAGTTTCTTACCCCTCGGGAGTCCCCTTCGCAGGGATGGGGTGGGAGGGGATAAGGGAAGGTGCAGAGATCTCCCATTCCATCCTCCCCTTCTGAAGTGCCAAGAAGCATGGAGGCAGGAGCCATCCTGGGCGTGATTGCTCAAAGAAGTTAAGTAACTCGCTCTGGGACATTACTTGGTTTGGAACCAGAAACCATCAGAGTCTGTTTGGAAGGTGAAAGAGGAAGAGGGCATACTGGGAGAGTGGGGGAGGCGGAGGGGGAAGGGGAAGAGATCATTGCTCTGGTATTGTTGCACACACCTGAGCACCTGTGTGAGCACCTGTGCAGCTGCAAATGAGTCTCCAAAGAGCGCATCTGCCCAGGTGCATTCCATTCCAGAGAGACGGACTGTGTTCAAGATTCAGAGAGAGGTCAGAGGCGGGAGGCTCAGAGAGCTGTTTGTGGAGACCGGGAAACACATCCAACCTCTTCCCAACAGGCAGGGGCACACGGGGTGAGACAGCCATGCATCTGTGTAGCCCTGCCGGCCTATTCCTCCCCTCACAAGTGCAGCCTGTGATCTGCCGGCACTCGGCGGGGGTGAGGGGGGGCGCCTGGAGGAGGGGGCCCCTCGGGACATGGAGGAGGGCTTGGCTCTCATCTCAAAGGTGGTCACAGATTCCAACAGGCCCACAGCCCTGTCTCTGGTTGAAATGACCAGGCCTTGAGGGAGGCAGCTCGTTGATGCAAAGGACTTTGTCGCATTCAGAGGCACTGGCTACTAGAGTGCAGGGGAATGAGCAGTCAGCAGCATGGCACAGGGGAGCATGCCCTGGTGACCTTCATGAGTCCCCAAGTGAAGGGCTGGAGGGGGAAGTCTCCAGTGAGGCCTGAGGTAGGCACTCATTACAGTCACCCGGGCTTCCTGATCATGACATAACTGCTGATCAGAGCTTCGGAAGCCAATTTTCCAAAAGACTGGGCCCAAGGATCCAAAGTTTCCTGTTGTAAGGACCATGACAACATGAGCATGGGTGGGGGGGGGGCTCCTATGAGCTTGGGGGACTCCTATGAGCTTGGGGGACTCCTATGAGCTTGGGGGGGCTCCTATGAGCTTGGGGGACTCCTATGAGCTTGGGGGACTCCTATGAGCTTGGGGGGGCTCCTATGAGCTTGGGGGAGCTCCTATGAGCTTGGGGGACTCCTATGAGCTTGGGGGTTCCTATGAGCTTCGGGGAGCTCCTATACGTTTCCAATGTTGTGCATGAAAGAACACATGGATACCTAGAACACTCAGATGTCATCCCCAAGAGCACGACACTACCAACCACGCTGTCACCCCACTTGGTGTCCAGCACATAGTTATTGCGGTTAAATAAGGATCAGGATAAACAAATAGGCCAAATAGATGTTTATTCAGGGAGAAATAACTTACAACCTAGACAGATGAACACCAGCAAGTTCCACAGGATGCTCTCCTGTCCATGTCCCGCCAGCAAGAGAGCGTTCCCCTGGCTTCTCCTCAGACCTCCTTCCACAGGTCACTTCCGTCCCTGGCCCCACCCCCCAATGGGCGTGGTCAGTGCCACAGAAGGAGACAAAGTGAATATCCCACTACAATTCCCCTTTTAGTCTAAAGAAAAGATTTAGGCTTAATACAAAACTATATACAAAATAGTGAATAACAAGTGTGCTCTAAGAAAAGGAAAATCGAGAACAAAATGACCTACATATCTAGTCCTAGGGTGAAGGCATAACGGAGTTTACAATAGAGTTGTCCTAAGCTGGAAAGCGTAAGTCTAGTACCTAATATCTCTAACTAGGAAGAGAGAATAATAGTTGTGATAGTTTAATCTTCAACCTCATCAAGACCTGAGAAGGAAAATAACGATACTAGGGTAGACAGGAAGTGCAGATGGGCAACTTCCAAAAGGTGCAGCAAGGACAGAAACAGCAAGCCACCTGAACAGTCACCCAAGGTCTCACAGCAACGTTGGTACACCCAGATTTGGCAAAGGCCAAGAGTACCTGACAGACCACAACAACAGCAGGGAGGTAGAATGGCTGTCTTACCCTGACTTGGCAAGGTCCAGCAGTCTTTTATATTTGTCTCCTGCAAGCACATAGGACTGCATGTCCAAATCAGTGGTCAAGGTGGGGGCAGTTCTTTGCCCGACAGGCCATTAGCTGAGACAAGCATGAACTCATCCTGGTCTCCAAGAGCCAGCTGTGCCCATCTCCCAAGTTTAAAAGCAGCGATGTCACAGGGAAACTGGTCAGTGCTACAGGACAGATGTGGGGTGGGGCAGGGGGTTGCTGCCCTCTTCCCACTCCCCCAGGGAGTGGCCAATGGCTAAATGTTTATAGGACTCCATTCAGGCGTCTTCTCCCAGGCAAACTGG